GTTTCCACATGTAATGGTCTGCAAGAGGATGTAGAGAGCCATAGCCCCGTCGCCCAGGGCATGAAGCAGGCATGGAGGAGATCCAGGCCCCAGACATCCAGAGGCCCCAGAGTGCGAGAGCCCAAGGAGGACCACCGGAGGGGCATCCGTGCCACCTCATGGAAGGGCTGAGGATCCCCAGACGAGGCGTCACCAGTAGCCACCGAGCAGAAGCTAGAGGGGCTGCACCGGCATGCCGCCGGCTCTGCCGGCAGCCAGCTGTGCCGGAGTGAACCGAGCCGCAGGCCCAGAGGCTGGAGGCCCGAGGGCCCCCCGCACCCCAGAGGAGGCCTGACCGAGCAACAGGCGCCAGGCCCCGCCAGGTAGCCACCGGGAGTGAGCCGGTACATACCTGAGTGCCCAGCCCCGAACACCAAGAACCACCAATGCACCGACCCCTGAGGGCATCAGTCACCGGCAGGGAGTGTGGTGAGGGGAGATAGGCCTTGGAGGGCCTGGGAGTTCCCAGAGAGGTGGAGTCTAAGACCCGACCTGACATATAGACACAGACAAACAGGCACACACAGCATTGCATTGCACAACATGCATTCCCACCCTCAAGCACACATATACAAACACTCAGCACTCACCCAACGTAAGGATTGACATAAATGGACATGTACACACAATCACACTCCCCAAACATACTCTATACCTCGGGTCCAGGTACCCTCGCCCCCAGAGGGGGAAACAGAACCCAGACCCAAGAGATGTTACCCTTCCCCCCGGAGTGGAGGCAAGCAGACCGTCCCAGGCTCCGCAGCAGCAGGGAGGCCAATTGGACAGCCAACATCTCCTCCCGGCCCCCCCGCCCCGATGGCTAGCAGAGAACGGGGGTGTGTGAAGACCCCATACCTCCCTCCTCCCGCTCATGTGTAGTGTTGCTGCGTGTTGTTCTAAAGTGCATTTAAAACAAGGGAGAGCATGGTGCTGCTGCTGCCAGAGAGCAGCAGGTGTTAGCACGGCCCCTTCCGAGAACCCTCAATGTCTACATGGATTTAAAATTGAGAGGTGGGCACCGGCGCCAGAGGCAGGTTTGAGTACACAGACCGTCCACTGGACGCCGTTAACGTGCCCACCCTCAAGGCCCTATATATGTGTGTGTGTTATGAGAGTGTAAGTAATGTGGATGTCTAAGTTGTGAGATAAAATATAGGCACAGGTGGCCAGAAGGGAACAGAGGGGGGGGGGGGGGGGGAATGTCTCCCCTGCACCCTGGTGACACACCCGCACCCCAAGGCCCTACCTGTGTGGGTGAGTGTGGTGGAGCAGGAAGAGGGAGGTAGCCGGGGATGGGGAGGAAAAGGAGGGAGGGGAGGATGCCCCTCCCTAGGGCCAGCTCCCCCGCTGACCCCAGTAGGCACCCCCGTCCTCTGGTACCCACCAAGGCAAGGGAGCCCAGGTCCATCCAGACCGGGGCCTACGGTAGCACTGCCAAGCCCCACAGGACCCGGGGCAGCCCACCCTACCCCACCGCAGAGGAAACTGTACCCACCCCAACATTCAATCATCTCCCAGACTACACAAGACAACAGACACCCAGGTTAAGTTTATTCTCCACCTCTCCTATGTCTCTCCCCCACCTGCAGAGTGGACTCCTGCAAGGATGGAACAACCTCCCCACCAGTTGAAGAGCCCCCCAGTTAGGCCGATGCACAAGAGGCCCCCTGTGCCAGGGCTGAGCCCCCGTGCACCCACCCACTCACAACCTCGGTGACACACCGACGAGGACCAAAGCCCCCAAGGCCCAGCCAGAGCCCCAGCACGGAGGCGAAGCACCCCCGAACCCCAAACCTCCACGCCTGCCCTGGATCCACTCAGGGGCAGCCAGGCCAGTAACCTACGTCCACCAGTACAGACCATCCTCCAGCCCCGCTGCACGTAGCCACGAGGAGAACAACCTCTAAGAGCGACCAGAGCCACTAACCAGGTTATGAACACAACCCCCGGGTTAAGCCCTCCAGGGATAACGTCTCTAGGGGTCCTCCAGGCGCCCTAAGCCCGTCCCAACTCCACATCAACCACAGTAGCTAAGGCGGGACCAAACCACGACCCCCTACCCCTGCTAGGTGATGGAGCCGATCAAAGGAGCCCAGAGGGATTGATCTAATGTGGTGGCAGAGGCTATATCGAGACTAATGTGATCTATTAGAAGGTTTCTATATTGGTTAGAATTAAGGTTAGAATTTTTATTTTTCCAGTTTATGAGGACCGTTTTATTGGCGATGCATAGGGCAGTAAAAACCATGTGGACTGTATTAGTTTCTGTAGTGACCTCATCCAATTTTCCCAACAAGCATACTAAAGGGGAGGTTGGAATTTTACATTTCAGACACTTTGATAAGTCTTCACATATCTCATGCCAAAACTTCTGCACTGGTGGACAGAACCAAAGAGCGTGAATGTAATTGTCTGGTGTATTGCCTTGACAATGTGAGCAGTTGTTGGAAGATGTAAAGCCCATCTTGAACATCCGATGATCTGTATAGTGCACTCTATGTAGTGTTTTGTATTGTATTAATTGCAGACTGGGATTTTTAATCAATTTAAAGGTTTTTAAGCATACCTGAGACCAGAAGTTTTGGTCTAAGCTGACTGATAAATCTGCTTCCCACTTTGCAATAGGAAGGGATATTGATTCATCTAATTTAGAAAGTGTTCTGTATATTTTAGATAATAATTTGGGGGATTTAAGAGTAAGAAAATGTACCGCACTTGGTGGTGTTTGTAATTCAACTTGACTGAGGTTAAATTTCTTTTTTACTATGGATTTAATTTGTTGATATTCTAAAAATCTTTTCTTGTTGATCCCATATTGTGCAACTAGTCTGTCAAATGGAATAAATTCTGTTCCCTATAATATATATTCTAAGTATTTAATTCCTTTACAACTCCATTCTGGGAAATTAATCATATTATTGTTTTGTAATATGTCAGGGTTATTCCAGATAGGTGTACGTTTGCATGGGATTAATGAAGACTCCGTTATTTTTAGAAACTCCCACCATGCTGTTAGAGAAAAGCTGATGTTGATACTTTTAAAGCATTCATGTCTTTTGATGTTTGAGCTAATAAATGGTAGGTCTGAAATCTCTAGATCATTGCATAGTGCCTGTTCAACATCTAGCCAGGGCTCATCTAAGAAGGTATGTTTTAACCATTCTGAGATGAACTGAAGCCTGTTGGCTAAGAAGTATTGGTGAAAATTAGGCAGATCTAATCCTCCTCTATCCTTGGTTCTTTGTAGCGTTTTTAAGCTGATACGTGGGGGTTTATCTTTCCAAAGGAATTTGGTTCAGATCTCTGGATTCATATATTTCCAATCTTGTGATGGTTTGTTAGGGATCATCAAAAATAAGTAATTTATTTTTGGCAAGATCATCATTTTTATAGTGGCGACCCTTCCCATGAGTGATATGGGTAAAGATTTCCATCTAGTCAGATCGCCTTCTACTTTCTTTAGAAGTGGGATGTGGTTTAATTTAGTTAAGTCTGAAAGCTTAGGAGAAACATTAATACCTAAATATTTAATATTTCCAGATTGTAGTGGGGCAGAGGAAGAATTATGGAAGGAGCAGTTAATGGGAAGAACTGTAGATTTTGGCCAGTTAATTGAATAATCTGAAACTCTTGAAAACCAGTTTATTAGAGTAATTACCTCAGAGAGCTTGGTTTGTGTGTTTTGCAGAAAAAGCAACACATCATCCGCATAGAGACTGATTTTATGTTCTATGTTCTTACATTTTATGCCCTTAATTGTAGCCTGTCTAAATGCTGCTGCTAGAGGTTCGATAAAAATTGCAAAAAGTGAAGGGGAGAGTGGGCATCCCTGTCTTGATGCCCCTCAGGAGACAGAAGCTGGAGGATGTCTGGTCATTTGTTCTGATACGAGCTGTTGGGGAATTGTATAATATTCTTATCCAGTTTATGAAAGAGTTTCCAAAACCAAATTTGTGTAAAGTTGCGAATAAAAATTTCCAGTTAACTCTGTCAAATGCTTTTTCTGCATCTAGAGATAATATTATGGTTTTGATGTTTTTATTGTATGAGCAGTCTATTAAATTAAGTAATCTACGAGTGTTTGTTGAGGAGTGCCGACCTTTTATGAAACCAGTTTGGTCAGGATGAATTAAGAGGGGGTTATTTTCTCTAATCTCTTTGAGAGAGTTTTGCAGATTATTTTAAGGTCTACATTTAAAAGAGAAATTGGACGATAGCTTGAGGGAAATAAAGGGTCTTTGCCTGGTTTTAGCAGGAGACTAATGTTCGCAGAATTCATATTTGGTGGTAGTCTGCCTAATATTAAAAACTTAGTAGTGACCGCCATTGTTGGAAACTGGAATTGGCTGGGCCGCGCTATGAATTCTGGGATATGGTGGGCCACGAAGGACACACCCGACCCATCCTTCAAATTTGGAGAAAAGGAGGACGCATTTGTCGGCTGCATTTGGAGGAGTCTACGAATCTGGACAGCCTTCGGCATGTCGGCCAACAAATGCGGCCTCAGGAGGATGTAGCCCATGAATTTGGATACCCCCAAAGTGTCACGGTAAAGTGGCAGTTCATGAGAGGCTGACTAAAAGTCTGTTTTATAAATGTTATTCTAGAATTTTTCCAGTGTTTTTTTAAGACTTGAATTTTATTAGATTTTTTACAAGAAACAGAAAAAAAATAGAAGGGACATTCCACTCCTTAAGACAGTTAAAATAGCAAATGTGTTGAAGATGCGTACACCATCTCAACAAAAACAGAGTGCAAAATATAACATAAATAAATAACGATGCCAATAGTTCACATAAACCCGATTACAGCTGTTGTAATTAATCACGAGCTTAACTACTTAAGCCAGATACATCACTGACCTGTATATGAAAAATTTATCAGTTTAATCATCCGATCTCAAATTTTTCCAGTGTTTAAATAAATGATTAAGAAGTAAACGCTATTCCTGATGTCAGATAAACACTCAATTTTTCACTTTATTTGACAAGTTCAGAAACACGTGATGTTCGATGTCTTTACAACAACCTGTGAATCACTTCAGTATCACTTTGTTCTTACAGCACATTATGAACATAGTTATGATAAACACTTTCATTAGCAGCACGTAAACATTACCAATACATCAATAAACACTTACAAACAGATGTGCTTTAGTTTGCTTTCAATACTGAATAATGTTGGAGATGTAAAGTGACCACAAACACTGCAGAAAACATGATGTTCTGATTGGCTGACATCATGCCACTAACTTCCTGTTCACAACATCTGCCATCAGCTGATCGTGTCACTTTGAAGCTGTCATTCATCAGCCTCGCCGCTCTGTAAACTTACTACAGATTCACAACAACAACCACAACACTAACATACGCACAAACACACTGACACATGATCATTTCCAGCTGGGTGACAAAAGTAACATACACATTTTTCACTTTAAGCTAATAAATAAACAGTAAAATAAACTCCTTAAATTACATTTCAGTAATAAACACATTAAAAACACACAATCAATATCTGCAATCCAACACTGTCGTCAGGAAAACAAGTTTTAAATTCATTTTTAAAAAAAAGAAAAAAAGAAAAACTTTCGATCATGTTCCTGGAATTTCCTGAATTTTATTCCTCTAGCAGCGTCTTTTAAAGCTGCAATCATATTTATGGTTTAAAAACTCATATAATCAAAAGTTGTAACACTTTGAAATTTTTATTTCAAAATGAAAAAAAAAATGTGAGAAACATTTGTTTCATTAAAAAAAAAAGATTTGAGGTTTTTAATGCATCAACATAAACAAGGCTCTAGAGTGTGACATGCGACCTAACTTCTCAGTGGTGTGACTAAAAGAATCCTAGGTCGCACCGGTGCAACCAGTCATTCAAGTAAAGAAAACATCACACATTATGCCTGTATCGTGGTCTAAACCAATCAGAGATAGTGAGGGGCAGGAGCTCTCTGATTGGTCATGGTCCAGATGTAAGCCTGTGTGTGTACATTTGAAGGTGCAGGCAGATAGACAGAGGTGAGCAGCCTAGACCTGATAGAAGTGGCTGTAGTTGTGGGTAATGAGAAAAGATGAAAAGAACGATTGATAACTGTTTCGTTAAGGCCTGATCCCTCTGAAATTCATAGCGAGTGCTCTGACACGGAGCCATCAACCTCTCAGGTTATGTCTAACACTGGTTCAGAGACGGCATCAGATAATGAGCCACATACGATGGACTCAGAGCCCACTGACAGTAAAGGCGTAAAGTGTATACGTTGGGAAGAGAGCGGCTTGACCAGTTTCCCTGGCTAAGATACAGTAAAGCTGACAACATGACGCACTGCATTTACTGCAGTGAGTGTGGAGAAACTGTGGCCGGCAATACTGCATTTGTGACTGCAGCTAATACGTTTCAAAAAGAAACGCTGAAAAAGCAGTGCATTCAGAAAACACATTATATGCTGCGATAAATGCACTGGCTTCTCCCCACTGCCTTTCAGCGGCAGCAAACAGGTCGTCACAGGAGGCCGATGTGATGATTAAGTTTAACATTGCCTACGATATTCCCAAAGAAGATGTTCCGTTCACTAAGTTCAAGTCCAAAATAATTCTTCACAAGAAAAATGTCTTGAAGGTAAACCCCATGTACAGTAATGATGTCACGTGTGCCCGGGTTACAGGTGTCATCACAGACACATGGGGAAAAAGGGGGAAAAGGCCAGATTACAGGACATCTGAGGGCCATGTGACTGTAATGGGGGAGGGTCCATAAGATATAAAGCTGTTCAGATACTGAGATGTTCATTTTGAAGCCTGTCAGGCACTTTCAGGTCTTTGTAATTTACATTTTCTTTTTATTGAATATATCTTGAGATGTTTTAAGTTTAAATTTCAGCTCAGTGAAGCACTTTAAACATTTTTTTCAGTAACTTGTCTTTCTTGTAGAAATGTGCTCCAAACAAAGAACTTTGTGTTGACAGGTGGTGGTGCACCTAAGGAAAAAAAGTTAGGTGCACCAGGCAACTGTGGCAAAAAGTTAGTCTACAGCCCTGACTGATTTTAGTATCATTGTTATGTGTGTTTTTATTTGTGTGACCCCTCCCACCAGAGAATGTGGGTGTGGGTTTTTCTCTCTCCTCCCTCCCAGGGTCCTGTGTGGGTATATCTTGACAGCCGAGTTGTTTGCTTGGATTCCTGTTCCCAGACTGGACAACAAGCTGTGTGTTTCTGATGGTAACTTTTGAGTGTTCTCTGTGTGAAACTCCTGAGTCAAAAAGTTCATTAGTGAGTAAAGTGAGTGAACTTGTGTGTGTGGCGTTGTGAGACCTAATCAAGCTCTTTGTAAATAGTTATTAATAGTTTTGTAAATTAGACAACCTGGAGTATTCTTTCACTATATGTTAAACACGGCAGCAGCCTGATATGAATGAGAAGCCTTTTCTGTTGAAATCTGTTTTCTCTTGTTTGAGTAGGACCTTGGGTTAGAAATCTATCTGTTGTTTGACTTTCATATTGGGCAGGGAACATTAGGGACCTTTATTTTGGCGTGGCTCACTGCTGAAGTCAACAAACGGCTGCGTAGAGTTTAGACTGCTAAAAGTTTTTGTCCTTGGGTGGAGTTGGAATCAGGGAGCAGCATTTCCAGATTACCTAGGTTTGGAGAATAACACTTTTTAAAGATAATAAACTATTTTTTAATTTAATTTCAAACGAGGAATTCTGCACCTCTGTGAAAAATCTGTTTGCTTTAAATCTGAGAGTTGAATGTCTTAAACATGATGAGTAAACACTGACAGGTTTACAGACTCAGATTCAGACTCAGGTTTAGCTCACAGCTAAAGGCAACCAGATGCAGCGACCAGGCAGAACTGATCCGAGAGCATCCTTCCTCTCTTTCTCCACTGTGCTGTGTAATAAAGGCAACAGAGACCCCAAAATCTAAAAATGTCATTTAGTTAAAAAAAAAAAAAAAGAAGATACTAACTTTTCTTAGCGGTAATTCTTTGAAGATATTTGATTGTTTGAGAATAAAGAACAACAACAAAAATTCAGAAAACAGTCAGAGAGAGCACCTGCGTTAGGGTGGAATGTTTGTTAAGCTGGCAAGGCTGTTAAGGTGGATTGTTTAAGGTGGAATGGCTGTTAAGGCAGAACATTGTGGGGTGTGGTTCCAGTATAGGCAGAGTGGTGAAAACAGGAGAGTTCAAAGATCCACAGAAAAGGAAACTGATCCAGAGTCATCTGCTACCTGTGAAGAATGGGAGTGATTAAAAAAATGACGACTCAGAAAGAAGTTAACAAACTGACTGATTAAACAGTTAATTCAGGGTTTCAACATTAAATATTAAACATACTCTGACCCGGGAGAAAGAGTTTGTTCCTATTCAGTTTTCTCAGACTTTTTATCAGTGTAGATAAAATAATTATAGCGAGTGACTTTAATATCCATGTAGATATGTAAGATAAGATAAGATAAGATAAGATAACTCTTTATTGTCATTGCACAGTCATACATAGTACAGCAGTACAATGAAATTGGAAAAACTGTCCTACGTCGGCACTACATATAACACAACACGACACGATATGACACATCACAACGTAACAAACAACACAACACAGTATATTAACTTAGTATAAAAAAGAAGAATAAGTGTATGTGTATTGCACACTGTTATTATTGCACATTAATTATTATTGCACCTTGTTATAAATATAAATATTATTGTTATCGTTTTAAACATTGTTACCTCCCCCTAAAAAGTCCAGGGAGGTATCCAGTCAGGTCAGCTATTTACATTGATCAGGGCTATTGCCCTGTTGTAAAAGCTGTCCTTGAGTCTATTTGTTCGGGACCTCAGCAGCCTGAACCTCCTGCCAGACGGCAGCAGCTTAAACACCCGGTGTCCTGGGTGTGTGCAGTCCCGTAGGATGCTGCGTGCCCTCTTGAGACAGCGAGTGCTGTACAGGTCCTTCAGGGAGGGAAGAGGATGTCCAATGATTTTTTGGGCCATGTTGATGACCCTCTGGAGTGCCTTTCTGTGTGCTGTGGTGCAGCTGGAGAACCACACACCGATGCAATATGTCAGCACACTTTCAATGGAGCAGCGGTAGAAGACGGTCAGCAGCTCCTTCTTCAGGTCCATTTTTCTGAGGATTCTCAGAAAGTGGAGACGCTGTTGGGCCTTCTTTAAGACCGCAGAGGTGTTAGAGCTCCATTGGAGGTCTGTGTCTATGTGCACACCCAGAAACTTGAAACTGGAGACCCTTTCCACGCACTCCCCGTTGATGCTGACAGGCTGCAGCTCGGACTTCCTCCTTCTGAAGTCAACTACCAGTTCTTTTGTTTTGGTGGTATTGAGGTCCAGGTTGTTGTCTGCACACCAATCTGACAGCCTCTGAACTTCAGCTCTGTATGCAGTCTCATCTCCCCCTGAGATGAGCCCCACCACAGTGGTATCATCTGCAAACTTGATGACTGTGTTGTCTGGGTGGGAACTAACACAGTCATGTGTGTACAGAGTGTACAGTAGGGGACTCAGTACACAGCCTTGTGGAGAGCCGGTGTTGAGGCTGAGGGCTGAGGAAAGTGCTCTCTTTCCCAGCACCCTGGCATAGACTTTCCTGGGAGGGCAAAGATGGGAACCACCAAAACAGCTCTACAGCATCCAGAGCCTTCAGGAACTTAGGCCAAACTTCTTCCACCCCAGGACTTCTGCAACCATGGAGTTGTTTAAGTGGCCTCACTCCCGGTGATTGACAATTCGCCCCCCCTTGTACACAGACTGCTTTTTCATACAGATGACATGTCAGTAGAATTAAAAAGGCTTTCAGCACGGCCTCTCCGAATTCCACCTAAACCCAGGTTTTTGCTTCGGCTACTGCCTGACCCATGGTCCTCTTGGCCTGTCGTTACCTATCCCCACCAGTGAAGTGACATTCCATGTCCCAATTGCTAGTCTCGATAGCCTGGGATTAGTCCATCAGGGTTTTCTAAAAACCTTAAAAACATGATATCTAACCAGATACTTTAAATGGCGTTACCTTGGCCTCCAATAACACTGTGAGGAATCCAATTAATCTTGGATTGATGTGATGGCAGCGTGCTACTTCGGCTCCTAAAACAGGTGCATTATTTTGTTTTTTGTTTGCTTTTCTATTGATTCTGCCCCCTATTACACAACATGTGTGTGAAAGATACAGAGACTCTCATACACCCGCTACGCTCTTCTGGAATATCAATGTGAGATTTAAAACTCTACCCGAAGATCCTCTAACAAAAGAATACAATACAACTTTATTTATAGAGCACATTTAAAAACCAATGGTATACCAAAGTGCTTCACATAAAAGACAGAAAATAAGACAGAAATATTATAAACATTATAGGACCATAACAAAATACCAAGTATGCTAACAGGTCAGTGTTACTAATACACAGGAATGGCATAAAATGCATATCAAGTAAAACATGTTAAAAGCACAAAACCACAAAAGATATGTATAAAAGGTAAAATAGAGTAAGTCTAGGGATCAGATGCAGGCATTAACAAGCAGGAAAGGCAAGGTTAAATAAATAGGTTTTTAACCGTGATTTAAATGATTGGATAGAGTCAGACGCGCAGATAACAATAGGAAGGTTATTCCATAAATGTGGTGCAGCCAAGGCAAACGCACGGTCTGTGTTGTTGATAATTTTAAAAGTAAGCAGCAGTATTTTAAATTGGATGCAGTATTTAATGGGTAGGCAGTGCAGGTCAGCTAGAACAGGGGTAATAGATTCAAACCTCCCAGTTCCAGAAGGTCACAAAGGCTTTTCCAGGTCCTTATGCAGAACATAATGCCTAGCCTTAGAAATGACACGCAGTTGGTAGAAACTAGATCTAACTACAGCGGACACTTGTTTATCAATTGCTAACAGTGTCAGAGAGGGAGCTGGCAAGGGAACCAAAGGCATCGTGAAATTGTCCGCGAGGAATATTACTATCAAATACAACGATTTCAGTTTTATTATCATTTAAGATATGTCACGGTCCTGGGTCTGTGACCCAGTGTTTTCTGTTCTGTATTGTTAATCTTTGATTTCTTGATGTATCTTTGTTTATTCTTACGTTTTGGTTCTGTGTATCCCCTCTATTGTAGTTAGGTCTGTGTTAAGCCCGCGTCTCTGAGTCTGTCTTTGCGTGTGTGAGTTTCCTGTTTTACTTTGAAGGTCTTTGTCTCATGTGAGGGTGATCAATTTACGTCTCCCTGTCTCATCAGCTCTGATTTTTCCCACGTGTGTTCCTCTCCTGACTCCCATCCCTTGATTACTGCTGTGTGTATTTAAGCCCTGTGTGTTATCCTGCCTGTTGCCGGTTCGTCTGTGTTATCTCCCTACGTCATCCTATGTTTTTCTCTCCATGTCTCCCTGCATCTGGCTTCAGAGCCTTGACAAGATAGAGTTTCCTAAGAGCCACTCTTTGACCTGACACATTCACTCTTGAAAGCAGTGCAGAGACAGAGCAGGATCATCAGCTAGTTCAATGTAGATCTGTATATCGTCAGCATAACAGTGAAAAGCGATATTGTATTTCTCAAAGATTGCACCTAGAGGGAGCATATACAGCGAGAAAAGAATAGGGCCCAGCACAGATCCTTGAGGCACTCCACAGCAGACAGGTGCAGCGGAGGAAGAGCAGGTGCCCAGGTTGACCGAGAAGGACCTATTGGAGAGCGACCGTGGCTCAGGGGGTTGGGAAGCGCATCTGTAACCGGAAGGTTGCCGGTTCGATCCCCGGGCTCTCTGTCCTGGCCGTTGTGTTCTTGGGCAAGACACTTCGCCTACTGGTGTTGGACAGAGGGGCCAATGGTGCGATATGGCAGCCTCGCTTCTGTCAGTCTGCCCCAGGGCAGCTGTGGCTACAACCGTAGCTTGCATCCACCAGTGTGTGAATGCGAGAGTGAATGAATAGTGGCATTGTAAAGTGCTTTGGGCTATACAGGGAGTGCAGAATTATTAGGCAAATGAGTATTTTGTCCACATCATCCTCTTCATGCATGTTGCCTTACTCCAAGCTGTATAGGCTCGAAAGCCTACTACCAATTAAGCATATTAGGTGATGTGCATCTCTGTAATGAGAAGGTCTAATGACATCAACACCCTATATCAGGTGTGCATAATTATTAGGCAACGTCCTTTCCTTTGGCAAAATGGGTCAAAAGAAGGACTTGACAGGCACAGAATAGTCAAAAATAGTGAGATATCTTGCAGAGGGATGCAGCAGTCTCATAATTGCAAAGCTTCTGAAGCGTGATCATCGAACAATCAAGCGTTTCATTCAAAATAGTCAACAGGGTCGCAAGAAGCGTGTGGAAAAACCAAGGCGCAAAATAACTGCCCATGAACTGAGAAAAGTCAAGCGTGCAGCTGCCAAGATGCCACTTGCCACCAGTTTGGCCATATTTCAGAGCTGCAACATCACTGGAGTGCCCAAAAGCACAAGGTGTGCAATACTCAGAGACATGGCCAAGGTAAGAAAGGCTGAAAGACGACCACCACTGAACAAGACACACAAGCTGAATTGGTAAAGGGCAGAGAGCTCCAGTCCGACTCAGACGCCAGCAAGGTGGAGGTGGAGTACTGGTTTGGGCTGGTATCATCAAAGATGAGCTTGTGGGGCCTTTTTGAGTTTCTGGAAGACACCTTCTTCAAGCAGTGGTACAGGAAGAAGTCTGCATCCTTCAAGAAAAACATGATTTTCATGCAGGACAATGCTCCATCACACGCGTCCAAGTACTCCACAGCGTGGCTGGCAAGAAAGGGTATAAAAGAAGAAAAACTAATGACATGGCCTCCTTGTTCACCTGATCTGAACCCCATTGAGAACCTGTGGTCCATCATCAAATGTGAGATTTACAAGGAGGGAAAACAGTACACCTCTCTGAACAGTGTCTGGGAGGCTGTGGTTGCTGCTGCACACAATGTTGATGGTGAACAGATCAAAACACTGACAGAATCCATGGATGGCAGGCTTTTGAGTGTCTTTGCAAAGAAAGGTGGCTATATTGGTCGCTGGTTTGTTTTTGTTTTGTTTTTGAATGTCAGAAATGTATATTTGTGAATGTGGAGATGTTATATTGGTTTCACTGGTAAAAATAAGTAATTGAAATGGGTATATATTTGTTTTTTGTTAAGTTGCCTAATAATTCTGCACAGTAATAGTCACCTGCACACACAGATATCCCCCTAAAATAGCTAAAACTAAAAACAAACTAAAAACTACTTCCAAAAACATTCAGCTTTGATATTAATGAGTTTTTTGGGTTCATTGAAAACATGGTTGTTGTTCAATAATAAAATTATTCCTCAAAAATACAACTTGCCTAATAATTCTGCACTCCCTGTATAAATCCAATCCATTATTATTATGCTCAAGCCTCGCTAACAACATGCTGTGATCGACCATTTCAAATGCCGAGGATAAATCCAATAGAACTAGGACCGCAGCGCATCCAGTATCAGCAATTAGAAGATCATTTAGGACTCTAAGCAAAGCTGTTTCGGTGCTATGACGTGGTTTAAAGGCAGACTGGAATTTATCAATAATGTCATTCGCATCCAAATACGACAGGAGTTGTGAAAAAACTATCCTCTCGAGAATTTTAGACAGGAATGGGAGCTCGGCCTGCAATTAACATAATCATTATAATCAAGGTTCCTTTTTTTAAGACCAGGCTGGACTACGGCATGTTTAAAAGCTGACGGGTCGATATACTATACCTATACTATGCAAGATGGGAGGATATATATAGGATTAGTATTATTCAGTTGCTCAACTAATCGCTTAAGAGTAAGGAGTGACACGGGCTCAAACTGATGGAAGGTTGATGAACAACCAGGAGAAGAAACAGGGCTCGACACTAAAGGAAGCGAGGACTTAAGAGAAGAAACTTTATCTCCGGAGGAGGGGAGAAAGCGTAGACTATCCTGGCCAGCATTTGGATAATCCGTAGCCCTTGCTTTAAGGTAAGCCTTGAGGCGGACGCGAAGAACACTCCTATTACCCCGTTTCCTGTAACGTTTCTTGTGCAGGTTGGGAAGGGGTAGGCAGGAAATACTGGTGGAGTCTAGCCGTAACAGGGTGGCGTCACCCAGGTTCAGTGTTGGGAAGGTTACTTTTAAAATGTATTCCACTACAGATTACAGAATACATGCCCCAAAATGTATTTTGTAATGTATTCTATTACGTTACTCAATGAGAGTAACATATTCTGAATACTTTGGATTTCTTAATATATTATCATGCTTTTTACAACTACATGAATGTACTATTGCTGTGTGATTTATTACTGTTACTGAAGGTCCGCGGCTCCAAACCGTAGTAAAGGGACCTCTGACTAATACGGCGGGTTCCGTGTTGGGCTCGTAGCCGAAAAATAGCTTTACTTTGTTCTCTGGGTCAAGTTTTAGACAGAGAGAGGCGTTGAAAGGCTGCTCCAACGGAACTTATTGTTTCGGAGGAAAACGCGAACAGTGTACAGTTAAGTCTTAATAGCTTACTTACAACTGAGCTCGTCAGGCTCTCTGTTTGGCTGCAGTGGTTATTATTATATGCTATATATGCTATAATAATATGTGCTTCCAGCTCCTGTTTCTGCTCGATGACAACTCGTACTTTTCTACTCTCCTTTTTCTCCCTCCTCGCGCTCACAGACACATAACGTGTATAGCAGTCCATTCTCCCTGCAGCACGGACTACACTGCCCATGAGGCTACATTATTTAGGGCGATGCCTGTAGCATTCTGCCTATTAGCTTAGCACAACAACAAAAAGGTGCTCTCTCACCCAGGAAACACAGAGAGAGCGTTACCCTGTAACCATGGCAACCGTAACGCTGCCGCCTGGAACAACAAAACAAACAAAACCCAAACAGTCCTGACCCGCGATAATATGAAACAGGAAAATACCCTTGTGTAATCCATTTATTTCAACAAAGTAACTGTATTCTAAATACCACCTTTTTAAACGGTAACTGTAACGGATACAGTTACTCATATTTTGTATTTTAAATACGTAACGCGGTAAATGTATTCCGTTACTCCCCAACACTGCCCAGGTTCCAATATGGATCCGAGCAATGCGAGTAAGAGAATTGGAGATTTAAAAGCGTTTGTCTGTCGTCCATTACTGTATATAGTAACTATTAAGTCTAATATACCCTAGTAAGCTATAGTACTTTTTCCTTAGGGAACCATCTGTGCAGTCTGCAGTTCTGTTGAAGAAAGATGATGAATCTATTTAATTACTCTTCAAAATTAATTTATTTCTGTGTATTTTTTTTCCACACTGCATCAAATTAAAGTTGATTACGTCGATTAAGCATCATGAGGTGGAGGGTGGTTCCCTATTTTTTGGGGTTTTTTGCTGGGAGTTTCAGAACCCTATTAGTTAGGTTGCTTACTCTTTAAAACACCAGAACAGGGAGGCTGGAGCAGGTTTAAGTTTATTAGATTGATCAGTTTTGCTGAACTATGAAATATTTTGGGTGCAGTGCATTTTTTGCATAAAGGTATAACAGAATAGCTTTAGTGTTTTTTTTAACTTGAGTATGAACTTATACAAAAAGCAGCAAGATATTAAAAAAAGTTTTATTGATTAAAAAACACACTATATCGGATTCATATCGGTATTGGCAGATATCCAAATTTATGATATCGGTATCGGTATCGTGCCATCTCTAATTGCAACATGGCATTTGGGTCTTCTAACTAAAATAGGAAAATAGGAACATAAACAGTGGCATCTACGCCAGGCCTGGCCCACATCTGGATGACATACCACTTACCATGCCAGAAGTCAACCAGCAGGCCCGGCTTGATACCAGATCCGGGCCAGACCTGCTTGCTATGTGGGTGTTGGCTGCTGGGGGATTCCCATGATGCACTGGGTGTTTCTTCTTCAGTCAGCTTTTTCACTCACTATGTGTTTATACACCTCTCTGCATTTAATCATTAGTTATTATTAATCTCTGGCTCTCTCCCACAGCATGTCTTTTATCCTGTTTTCCTCCACTCAAATATACAGTAGAAAAGCTCCCAAGCATTTTATTTAATGAGCTGTAATAAAACAGATCAGTTTGACAAGCAGTGCTGACAGAAATAAAGTTGTGGCTGAAGCTTTGTAGTTGTGTGCCATGGTTTCTGAGGTGTGACTCACCTGGAGCCTACTTGCTGCTGCTGTTCTGGTGGAGATGTTGCTGAGGTTGGTGTCGGGGGGGTTGGTGTTGTGGGCTGGACCCTGCACCCCCTCCTCTGATGGTATGTCGGATAGCATGGGAGAAGGACGGATTCTGATGGTGCTGATGACCGGCTCTTATTGGCTTGGCTATATGAATGCAGGTAACAGGTGAGTTTAGGTAAAGACAAACAGCCTATCACATCACATATCAGACTTGGCTTGTTTTAAGTTATCTTCTCACCAATCTGAGCCGAGTGTCCTTTCCTGAACAGGTTTTTGGACCGCACAGCCTCTTTGATGCGGTCAACTTCCTGTTGGTAGCGTTTGCGATCCCTCACGGCTGACTCTTTTGCATTTTTCAGAGCAGTTTCCAGAGCTTTCACTCGCTCCGCTGTAGCCCGGAGACGCTTCTCCAATTTGGGCAGCTCACAGCGGAGCTCAGCGTTATCCCGAACCAGCTGGAGGAAACAGCTACTGTCAGTTATGTGACTTGAAAGCGTGTTTGTTTATCCACCTTGAGGAATCCCCAGTAAAACACTTCTTTCTTTAATTATTATTTATTAAAGCAGGCGATGAATGATTACATGTTATCATGTACATGGATCCCCTTTGTTCAGAAGACCACAGGCTGTAAAGTTGCAGATCAGAGTTCCTCAACTTATCAGTATACAAAGTTTTATATGAGACTGTGCATCTATCTGATTGATTAAAATTGATGGGGAGAAATCATAGTTTACACTTAATTCTCCCATCGTCGGTGCCTCGGGCTGGTCCCAGCTTCTCAGCAATCTGCCTTGTCCAATCCAGGGGAGCAGCACCTACAAACTCTGCTAAACATGTACTAAGTGCTTTTCCCTATTCACTCACCTTTCACCTAAAAGCCTGTTGTCTTAGTGACCGTGAAAGCAACCCTGACTGAGACGCCAGATGTTGTTTTGTCTCAAGCGGTCCCTAGTGGAGTGTTGGGCAAGTTAATTTGAAAAAGTAATTAATTACAGTTACTAGTTACTTCTTCAAAAAAGTAACTGAGTTAGTAACTGAGTTACAAGATTCTAAAAGTAATTAATTACTTGGAAAGTAACTATTCTGTTACTTTAAAAAAAAGTGTTTAACCCTCCGGGGTCCAGGGTATAATTGGCCATTTTTAACTACTTTTGATGTTTCCTCCACATCTCACCTTTAAAAACTATTTACTTTGCCTTGTTTGGTATCATCCTTTTCAGCACAACCTCACGTGTCTGAATTTACAGTTACGTTTTCATTTTGACATACTGTATTAACACAATTGATCTAAAATCAGACAAAAAACATAAAATCCGAGTAGAAAAAGTTATATTTTTTACTGTAACAACCACAAACATGTTTAATGAATCATATTTCATAACTTTAAATGCAAATATAAATCGTCAATTTTAAAATCATATGCACAAGTTTTCCAAACAACAAAGTTATTTGCATCCATTTACCTTTTACCTTTTTTAAATAACCATTTCAAACTGTTTACAGAACAATCAGCCATTCTTGAATAAGATGCCACAAATTATTTGTGCCACTCCAAAAAAATAATTTCTGTCCACTATAAAGGAGAACATCACAGCCTGATACCTGCAGGTCTGACAGCAGCAGGTGTATCACTCCTGTTTCTACCTGGAGACAGCAGTCACATCATTGTTCTGACACACAACACAAAACTATCCACAACACACTAACTACACACTGCAAACACGCTAAACGTCACAAATCTCTCACATCTCAAAACTCGCTCTCTCTCTCTCTCTCTCTTGCCGCCACTCCTAAAACTTCCCCTGTTTTGGGGTTTTTTTTGGGGGGGGGTTGCTCATAAGCAGAGAGTGCTTGCTGCGCTGTCCTTAGACAGTGAATGTGAAGAAACTATTGAGGAAAAAACACGCGTATATATTGTTTATCATGAGTCTGGTTTTATGTGGCCTATCAACACAATTTAAAAACTGGTATATACAGAGGTGGGTAGGGTTAGGGTTAGGGTTAACCCTAACCCTATTTACTCAGTTACATTTACTTAAGTTTTTGAAAAAAAATTTACTTTTAAAGTACCTTTCTTGCACGATACGTTTTACTTTTACTTGAGTACATTTGTGAAGAAGAAACGGTACTTTTACTCCGCTACATTTGCAAAATTCGACTCGTTACTTTTTAAAAAAATAATTAGTTTAACACATTAGATAACATGTCGCCAGTGGAGTTTCCGGTAACTTTTTTATCAATCAGATGTGGCCATTCAGTCAGTGTTGCCAACTTAGCGACTTTGTCGCTATATTTAGCGGGTTTTCAGAGCCCCATAGCGACTTTTTTTCTAAAAAGCGACTAGCGACAAATCTGGCAACTTTTTCTGGTGTTATTGGAGACTTGTTTATGACAACTTTTTGACGTGAAAGGGCGTGTTGCTCTTACTCTCAACAAGCAGCGGGTGCTGCCGTGGGCACCTCACCCGTGCTAAAGCGCTCACGGGCGGAGGATAGTCCTCCCCCAGCTGCAGGAGATGTTCACACCTATGCGTCCAAACTGCAAATGAATCGCGCATGAGCGAAGCCGCTGCTTACTCATTGACTGTAACGCAGTTCTTCTTTTACTGTTATGCTGTTTTGTGGATCACAAGGTTTAAAACTACTTATAAACACACATACACACACACACATAAAGTAACTCCACCAGAGCGCCTATTTCGGGTCACTTTTGCCGGTCGAAGCCCGGATAAAGGAACAGGGTTGGAATTGTGACATTTAAAAAAATTGCTAAAAGAAATTTAATTTGTAGTTCTAAATAAATTCTAAATGGATTTAGGACGTTTTTTGCTCACTTTGTGTCTCTTCCATGATGTTATTTCTCTCTCCAACAGCGTAGGTTACAATTATATTAGCATGACCAATTATGCAAATTAGGTGATGATGTCATTTAGCGACCTCTAGCGACTTTTAGGACAGCCAATAGCGATTTTCCTTGCTGAGGAGTTGACATGACCAGTCATGACCAGTTTGAAACTGTGGCGGGCAGAGCGGCCCAAGCGTTTCAAAGTAGCGGACACACAGAAAGAAGAAACATGAAAACATGGCAGAGCCAGTCGTCTACGCTACAGCTGAAGAGGATGAACAGCATTTTCCTCATATACAAAGAATGTTTCTCTTAAAAGCAGCACAAAAGAACAGCTATGTCTTCAGCGTCGGTGTCTTCAGTGAGAGCCAAAACAAACTAACTTTTCAGCGTGAAAAAAACTCAGCTCGTGTAACCTGAGGAAACGGTAAGTTTTCTCTAAATATCTTTTTAGCTGTGGTTAGCTGGATGTCAGTCTTATGTTACAGCAGCTGTGTCGAGCTCAAGCTGCGAGTCATATTTTCGGCGCTACGTTGTAGAGAGACAAATTTGTGGGTGTTTTGTGCAGCTTCAGCTGTCTTTTTAACTGCTCACTGGTCAGCTAGCGTGAGCTATAAGCTAACAGCTAGCCTGTTTAATGACGCTAGAGTTCCACGCACATGCAAACAGCTCGTCTCTACTGCTTTAACTGTTAAAACAGAAGGCAATACTGCAGCTGACAGGGTTTATTATGTGAAGCAGCAGCTTGTTTAGTTTAAACAGTCTGCATTAAGCTGGGAAAACACTGTGCGATTTTTTCCCGTCGCATTATTCAGCTCCTGCACAAACTGTACAATTGAATTGCAGGGGTTAGAAGTTCATAGGTCACGATGTAGGGTCTCACACGGCCTGATGCTCTGATGCGACCTGAGTGCTCAAACTGTGCGTCCATAACATGAAGCTTATCATACAAAATCTGTCTCTCGCTCTCCCTCTCTCCGTCTTACAGACACACACACACACACACACACACACACACCACTGTCAACTTTGCTAAATTACTAATGAAAAACATTGACCAGGCAACTGTGATTGAGCAGCAATGTCCATCCAACTCTTTTCATGGTTGTTGTAGTCGTCACAATTTTGTGAGGTCACATTGAAAAGCCTTGGATACGGAAGCGTAGAGCTGCCACCCAGCCAAAAGAAAAATAGAAAAGTATATTGTTCTAACGATATACCTTTCACGTTTGAACAATATAATATCACGTTATTACAAAATACATAATTATCACGTTCGTACAATATAAATATTATATAGGCTACATCGCAGCTCCAGTCACGCTTCCATCACCGTCTTTCGTCTTTTCCCAGAGTAACAGCCAAACAGGAGGATCTATTGGCTAGCACTGCTTAGCCTTGCACGCATTCTTATTTTAAACTTAATCTGGAATTCATTGCAAACTGTTTGTGCGGGATATGAATGACAGGATTTTGTTTTTCAACAAGAGTTAGTAAAAAACATCTCCAAAAATTAATATAAAGTTTACAGCATATCTTGTCACTGGAAATTGTTTGCACTGTTTATATGTTTATATTATTTACTGTAGGTATTGGTGAAAAAAAGCTTTATGTTGTGAAAAACTGAAATCTGGAAAAAATTTTGTTGATGTTTTTACATATATTCCTGTTGAAAATACTAAAGTTTGTATATTTATTTTTGTTTGTCTGATAGCATTTATTTATAAAATAAATCAGACATTTCAAACAGTTACTCGCTACTTGAGTAGTTTTTTCACCAAGTACTTTTTTACTCTTACTTGAGTAACATTTTTGAAGACTACTTTTCACTTTTACTTGAGTAATAATATTTTAAAGTAATGCTACTCTTACTTAAGTACAATTTTTGGACACTCGACCCACCTCTGGGTATATGTCACCTTGTTGCTTTGTCTTTAAGTGGTCATGTGATTGGCTTACCACGACTACTTTATTCTTCCTCAGTCAAACAGCAGCACTCGTGCGATTGTTTTGCACCCTAAGCTGCAGGTGTTGTGAGAAAAAGTGATCATCAGGCAGAAAGTGATTGCTGTCAGCGGGAACGTGCGGAGCTGCTGAAAGCTGTAGCGCCCACATTACTTACAGCTATTTCCATGCAACTGATATAAGATGTGGTCAACTGAACACAGCTTCAACCGTCTGTTTGTTGAAAAATAGTAACGCCACCGCATTTTCTTGTTAGTAACGGTAACTGCGTTACGATAGAAATAGTAATTAGTTAGATTAGTCGTTACTGAAAAAATTAACGGCGTTACTTGTAATCACATGCCGTTATTCCCATCACTGCCTAAGTCTCCACCTTATCATTGGACTTAGTGTTTCTTCACCTTGAAGCTTCTACACTGTCTACACGTCTAAATTATTAGGCTTTTATGCACTATTATACCTGAGAGACTGCTTCTCATTCACATGGTCACACAGAGGATCACAGCTGGAGACACAAGCTTCACTGCAGGATCTGTACTCTGTCATATTTCAAGAAATAATTGCCAACAAACACAACATCAGCAAACATCCAATCACAGAGTGACCTGTCAATGACAGACCCACACTAAAGATCCTGGTTTTAAAAACTGAAACACAAACTTCCAATGGGGGAGACACCAGTTGAGGGTGACCCTGTGGGTAGGGCTTAGAGACTAGGTGAGATCACTCACCTGCTTGTGGACCCTGCTGAGCTGCTCCAAGTTATTTTCTAAGAAGACGATCCTCTGTCTCTGAGCCAAACTGCCACCAGCCTCATCGCTGTCATTCTCTGAACTCTGATCATGACAATAACACATGAGACTTTATCACTGGACGGACACACACACACACACACACACACACACTGATCCCTAAAACTCCTCACAAAATGGACTGAGGCAGATCAGTTAGGTTAACATCAGTGGAAATGCAATGTCGCAATGGTACTCTTTAAACTTTATTAAATTTGAATGTAAATAAGCTGGAAAATGATAAATGAGCTTATTGTAAACCTGGAGCAGCGACACCATTCAAAGCAGGAAGTGACATCAGCAATTGTGTGACGAATCAAAGCTCTGCTGCTCTGAATCTCAAAGTAAAGCTACTTTTTATTCTTACATTCTTGATTCGAGCTCCGATGTCGTCGATGAAGAGTTTGCGAAGGTCGTTGAGCATCTGCAGCTCTTTGGCCTGTTGGAGGAAACAGAGACTCAGCTGGTCTCACATCAGCAGTAAGACATTTTGGACTTTATCATTTTGCTTCTGTACATCATCACAGAGGAAACCAAGAATCCAGCATGTGACTGAAGAGTAGACTTTCAGACGTTTAACAAAAGTATACCCAGGAACTAAACACTACTCACCCTGTCCACAGCAGCACCATTTGTGGTGAGGTCTGTGTGGTGATCTTTGCCGGGCCTCCTGAAATCACTCTCTTTCATTTTGTCCACATTGATTGTGACTTTTGGATCTACACCTGACTTCAAGCTGCTTCATGTCCTTTCTGTAAACGGACTAAACGCCGTAACTGATGGGACCGAGCACTGACATGTCATCTGGAAACCACAATGTGGTTGGTGCTGGATCTGACTGTACAGTCATGTGTAAACAGTCTAAACAGCAGCGAGCTCAGGACACACCCCTGAGGTGTGCTGACTGAGATGGTTTTTCATCTGTGGCTGCCATTTTGAATTCAATATCCTGCTCCTCACATACAAGGTCTTAAATAATCAGGCCCCATCTTATCTTAATGACCTTGTAGTACCATATCACCCTATTAGAGCACTTCGCTCTCACACTGCAGGCCTACTTGTTGTTCCTAGAGTATTTAAAAGTAGAATGGGAGGCAGAGCCTTCAGTTTTCAGGCCCCTCTTCTGTGGAACCAGCTTCCAGTTTGGATTCAGGAGACAGACACTATCTTACTTTCAAGATTAGGCTTCAGTCAATTCAATTCAGGATGTAGAACTCATGACTGTGAAAAGTCTCCCATTCTATTCACCTTCTCAGTTTTTGGAGTTTTTTGTCATAGCAACCTACATAGCACCGCATGCTAATGCTAACAACGCACTGAAGGAGCTACACCATCACATCAGCTCGCTTCAGAATAGGCACCTGGAAGGTTTTTAGGTAGTGGCTGGGGATTTTAACCACTTAAACCTGACAGACATCTTACCAAGGTTTTATCAGCATGTCACCATACCGACACGGGGAAATAACACGCTGGACCATGTTTATACCAACATGCGAGATGCATACAGAGCAGTACCCCGCCCCACCTCAGCCTCTCAGACCACATCTGTATTATGCTGGTCTCTGCCTACCATCCCCCACTACGACGCTCCAAACCACACTAAAAACCATCACTGTGTGCCCCAGTGACGGTGACTCTGCACAGGGTGGGGCCACTTGCCCCTCCCTTCCTTCCCTCCCCATCTCCGGCTGCCTCCCTCTTCCCGCTCCACCACAATCACCCACACATGCAAGGCCTTTGGGTAAAGGTGTGTCACCAGGGGTCAGGGGAGGCATCCCCCCCCCGTCCCCTTCTGGCCGCCTGTGCTTTAATTTTATCTCACAACTTAGACATTCACATTACTCACACTCTCATAACACATACATATAGGACCTTGGGGGCGGGCACGCTACACGGCATCCAGAAGACCAGCAGGGTGTACAACCTCACCCCTGGCGTCGTTGCCCACCTCTCAATCTGCCCCCCCATTCTCTGTTGCCTGTAGGAGCGGGGGGGGGGGGGGGCTAGGAGGAGGAGTTGGTCGTCCGATTGGGGTCTGGAGTGTGGGGCCTCCCTGCTGCTGCGGAGTCGGGGCGATCTGCTTCTCTCCACCCCAGGGAAAAGGGTAACACCACCTGGGTCTGGGTGCAGTTTCCCCTCTCCAGGGGCAAGGGTACCTAAACCCGGTTTGTAGAGTACGCTTGGGGAGTGTGATCGTGTGTACAGCGTCTCTTTATGTCTGTCTCCACGTTGGTTGAGTGTGGAGTAAGTGCATATGAGAGCATGAGGGTGGGGATGGATGTTTGTATCTGTGTGCCTGTATGTCTGTGTCTATATGTCAGGTTGGGTATCAGACGCCACCTCTCTGGGGACATCTCAGGCCCTCCAAGGTTTGGAGGCCTATCTCCCCCCACCACTCCCCCTGCCAGTGGCAGACGCCCTCAGACATCGGTGCGTTGGTGGTTCTTTGTGTCCGGGGATGGGCGTCCAGGTACACACCGGCTCACTCCTTGGTGGCTGCTTGTCGGGGCCTGGGGCTCGCTCGGGCCCCTTCGGGGGTGGGGTGCCCTCGGCCTCTCGGCTGGGGCTCGGTCACTTTGGCGCAGCTGGCTGCCGGCGGAGCTCACGGGCACGTCACTGCAACCCCCTCTGGCTTCTGCTCCGTGGCTGCTGAGTGACCCCTCATCTGAGACTCTCCTCAGCTCTTTCTGGGACAGTGGCGCGGCTGCCCCTCTGTTGGTCTTCCTTGGTCTCTTGTGTTCTGGGGGCCTCTGGATGTCTGGAGCCTGGATCTCCTCCATACCTGCTTTATGCCCTGGAGGACGGGGCTGTGGCCCCCCACACCGTCTAGCAGATCATTACATGAAGGAACCTGTTAAATACAAGCGCGTCCATGCTCACAGGTGTACACACGGGTGATCACACCCACAAACTACACCCTTTTTGGCTCCTACCTCAAAGCACACTGTGCGCTGTCGATCTTACGTGCTGCACAATAATGTTTAATATTTACTGTTATATTCACATAGATCATCATGATGTTGTTTATTATGTTGCTCTCTTTTTTTGCTTGTTTTCTCTTTTTTCTTTCTCAACAGGTGATCCAGGTGATTGTATTTTTTGTCTGTTTTTTTTGTTGGTTTTTGTTTTTTGCCCTTTATCACCGTTCATCTTCCCCGCTGTTTTTTTTCCCCTCTTTCTTTCTCCCTTTTCTTTTCCCCAGTCAAGTCTGTCCCAAGTGTAGCAAGTGAAAATAAAATAAAATAAACAATAAAAGCAAAGGTAAATCAAACAGACCAACACGGCAAGGCTGGGATGGTCAATCTGGTAAAGTAAATCCGTTGGGCATCTTTCTTTGCCTTTAGACAATAATTCTGATGGCAAAAGAGCCAAACGGGACAGGCGGGAAAGAAAACAAAGAAGAAGTCCATGCCCTGCTGAAAGCCGCCTTCAGGTCTGGTGACGCACAGGAACTCAGGAGGGCTAGAAGAGAAATGACTGCAGGCGTCACGAGAGCCAAAGCCACATACACACAGGAGATAGACTGTTATTTTTCTTCCCAGGATCCACGCAGTATGTGGAGGGGTAAGTGCATCACTGACTACAAAACTAGGGATACACAATGCCCCAGGGATCCTTCTCTGCCTGAGGCTCTCGACCAGTTCTGCGCCCGCTTTGAGGATCCTAACACGAGTGTGCTAAGTCCCCTCCTGTTCACACTGCTCACCCAACTATCCAGGCTGTCATATTGTAAGGTTTGCAGCTGTGGTTGGTTGCATCACCAACAATGATGAGACCGGCTACAGGAAGGAGGTGGAACACTTAGAGGACTGGTGCAGGAAAAACAATCTCTGCTTAAATGAGAAGAAGATGAAGGAGATGACTGTGGACTTGAGGAGGGGAAGACACACACACACACGCCCCTGCACGTCGGAGGATCTGCAGTCGAAGTAGTACCCAGCTACAAGTACCTGGGTATGTACCTAGATAGCAACCTCATTTGGAAAAACACTTCCAGCCTGATCAGGAAGGCTCACCAGAGGCTCTACTTCCTGAGGCGGCTGAGATGTGCGAGACTTGAGAGCTCAGTCCTCATCTCCTTTTACAGATGTGCGGTGGAGAATGTTCTGTGCTCTGGCATCAACGTGTGGCACAGAAACTGCACTGAGGCAGAGAGGAAAGCTCTACACAGGGTGGACAGCCTTCGTCACGTCGCTGTGACGTAATCGGACTACAAATGCGTCCTCAGGAGGATGCAGCCCGTGAATTTGGACACAACCTATGTGTTAACAGACCTCTCTGCACTGAATCATATCTGTTATTAATCTCTGTCTCTCTTCCACAGCATGTCTTTATCCTGTTTTCCTTCTCTCACCCCAACCAGTCGCAGCAGATGGCCCCGCCCCTCCCTCAGCCTGGTTCTGTCGGAGGTTTCTTCCTGTTAAAAGTTTTTCCTTCCCACTGTCACCAAAGTGTTTGCTCATAGGGGGTCATATGATTGTTGGGGTTTTCTCTGTATGTATTATTGTGGGGTCTACCTTACAATATAAAGCGCCTTGAGGCGACTGTTGTTGTGATTTGGGGCTGTATAAATAAAGCTGAATTGAATTTTGTCAGGAAGCTGAGAACCCAGTTGCAGGTTGCAGTGTCCACACCTGGAAGCATCAGTGTCTCCACCAGCTGGTGTGGGATGATTGTGTTAAAAGTGGTTGAAGTCAGTGACTGTGGTGTTTTCCTCTCCAGGTGTGACAGCATAAGGTGGTGGGTGGTGGAGATGGATAGACTGGTTCTGTATGCAAATTGAAGGGTATCTGGGTTTATTGGGAGAATGTCCTTGATGTGCTACAAAAACAGCTGCTCAAAGCATTTACTCACAATTGGTTTGAGGGCCACAGGCCTAAAGTTATTTAAGCAGTTAAGTTATTGATTGCATACATCAAGAAGACTGCAGAGTCCTGGCCTGACGAGGTGGCTCTTCTATGTTGTGCCATCCGCTTCACCAGAGGTTTTTTGGTTTCTCCGATTTATAAATCCTGGCAATCCCCCTGCACTTAACAGCGTACACTCTGTTACTCTGTTTGTGTCGGGGGACCCGATCCTTGGGGTGGACCAATTTCTGGCGCAACATGTTTTGGGGCTTGAAAGCCCCAGAGAACCGGTGTTTAGGAAAAATGCGCCTCAACTGTACTGATACTCCTGACACGTACATGATCACTACAGGTTTTCTGTTAGGCAGCGGTTGTCCTTCTCTCTTGGATCAGCTGGAGCTTTCTTTTGGCGCTTTCCCAGCTTTGACAAAAGTCCAGCTGGGATAACCACATTTACTCAGGGCCTTCTTGATGTTCTTCTGCCTCCCTGGCCGCTGTGTCTGTGGGGATGGTGTTTGCTCTGTGTTGTAGCGTCCTGATGACGAAATGAAATTGAAAAATTGAATTGGAGGCCCTTAACTGAAGAGCTTATTTGCAGACTTTCAGGAGTAATCCTTTATACAGCGCCAAATCACAACAACAGTCGCCTCAAGGCGCTTTATCTTGTAATGTAGACCTACAATAATACATAAAGAGAAGATAAACAGAATCAACTTTTATGGATTTCCTTATCTGGATGATTGAGCACGCATTTCAACAGTTCATATAAAATTTTAGTTGAATTGAAAATCTGCACTTCAGTCATAGATTGATGTAACACCCACTGTGGTGCTGCACAGAAGCACTTCTGGACCCTGAGCATCTATGCCAGTGAAAATACAATCTCATACCACTGTCTCCTCCAAACCCTTCAGGTCTTCTTTGGCTTGTTCTCTCTTCTCGTTCACAAACCTGAAGACACAAGCAGAGTTTAGCATGACCCACCTGAACTCCCTTTACACCCACTGCCTGTTAATGTGAGTTCACTGATTGGTCAGAGAAACGGTAGGTGGAAGCAGAAGGAGGCAACATGATGCAATGATGTCATCTGAGCGGCGCAGGAGTTTAAATGAGAAAAATAACATGATAAATAAATATATGATTTCTGTCTGACACACTTAGACGTCACAGATTATATCGTGAACTGAATGTGGACACAACCATGTCTGATGGCGCTAAAACCTCAATCACGATGTTTGAGGCGACTGCAAGAACAGAGGGACAAACGTACATGAGCTTTTGAAGCTTCTGGTCTTTGTTCTGATCCTCTGCTCTCAGTTTGTCCAAGTCAGACTGAAGCTTCCTGTTTTCCAGCTGCAGAGCCTGATTCACGCTGAAAGAAACAAAGAAGCTGGAAACAGCCGGCTCGACACTCTGACAAAACACATGCTTGAAGCAAAAATCTGACCAATAACAAATCTCTTTAAAATGAACGATGTGACTGAACCCAGAACAGCTGAGAAGAGTCTGAGAGCAGCTCAATCACTCAGTAATTAGTAATATCAATAATCAATCAATAATAATCAATAACTCACTCTTTGAGTCGGTCGACGTCTCTGTGTTTCTGATCGATCTCATCTCGGAGTCGACTCAGCTGTTTGTGATGAACCTCCCGGTGGTTCTCCATCTGTTCCTCCAGCGTTCTCTATAGAACACACAGTGACACTTCCATCACCTCTATCACTGATTTAGCTTTGACAGACTGTTGATTGTTACTTTGCTCACAGTGACGTCACGCCATGTTTACCTTCATCTCCACAACATCCTTCAGCTGGCTCATGTGTTCTTTCTCTTTGTCCATCACTGTCAGCTCGTGCATTTGACCTGCTCACACACAAACACAGAGTCTCTTATTGTTTCTACCTGTTCACCTGTGATGGATTTTTAAAAATTAGCCAATCAGAGTTTACTGTTTCCTGTAACCATGGCAGTATTACCTTGAGCGCGGAGCTTGGCGACCTCCTCCATCAGAGCATCCTGACTCTCCTCCAGCTGCCTCTTCTTCTGCTCCACCTTCTGGAGGTCATCGGTGAGAGACCCCAGCTTTGCCCGGAGCTGCACAAGCAGACACACAAACAAACAGCACAGGTGAATTTATCATCACACCTGTTCAGACAGGCTGTGTGTGTGTGTGTGTGTGTGTGTGTGTGTGTGTGTGTGTGTGTGTGTGTGTGTGTCTCAGTTTGTATTTGTCTCACCTGCGACACGAGCAGCTGGCACGTGCTCAGCTCCTTCTCATTCGCCTTCATCTTGCAGGTGTTTTCTGTCAGGTTGACCTCCAACTGTTTGCTGCGGTTCACCAGAGATTTGACTTCAGACTTCATCTTACTGATGTAGAGTCGGGCAGAGGTGAACTCTTCCTCCATCACTCCACTCACTTCAGTCATCTGAAGAGACAGAATCAGAGTTTGTTTTCAGACACATGAAAAGTAGAAGTAGATGAGAAGAAGAACTAGTTTGAGGCTCACAGCTTTGAGCTCGGTGGTTCCGAGAACACTGCCGATCTCACTGAGGTCTCTGAGCAGCAAAGTGACGATCTCCGCTGACCTCCTCTTATGATGAGAGCTGAGCTCCTGCAGGGAGGACAGCTCCCTCTGAACAGCCTCCAGACTGACCTGGAAACACAGCAGGTTCATTACACATCCATCCATCCAAACATCCATCCAATCCAAACATCAATCCATCCATCCTTCCAAAAATCCATCCATGCATCCAAAAATCCATCCATGCATCCTTCCAAAAATCCATCCATGCATCCAAACATCCATCCACCCCCATCCATCCAAAAATCCATCCATCCATCCAAACATTCAAAAATCCATCCATCCAAAAATCCATCCATCCAAACATCCAAAAATCCATCCATCCAAAAATCCATTCATTCATTCAAAAATCCAAAAATCCATCCATCCATCCAAACATCAATTCATCCATCCATCCAAAAATCCATCCATCCATCCAAAAATCCATCCATGCATCCATCCATGCATCCTTCCAAAAATCCATCCATTCATCCATCCATGCATCCTTCCAAAAATCCATCCATCCATCCAAAAATCCATCCATGCATCCATCCATGCATCCTTCCAAAAATCCATCCATTCATCCATCCATGCATCCTTCCAAAAATCCATCCATGCATCCAAAAATCCATCTATCCATCCATCCATCCAAAAATCCATCCATGCATCCATCCATGCATCCTTCCAAAAATCCATCCATGCATCCTTCCAAAAATCCATCCATGCATCCAAACATTCATCCACCCCCATCCATCCAAAAATCCATCCATCCATCCAAACATCCAAAAATCCATCCATCCAAAAATCCATCCATTCATTCAAACATCCAAAAATCCATCCATCCATCAAAACATCAATTCATCCATCTATCCAAAAATCCATCCATCCAAAAATCCATCCATGCATCCAAACATCCATCCACCCCCATCCATCCAAAAATCCATCCATCCAAAAATCCATCCATGCATCCATTCAAACATCCATCCATCCCTCTGACTGTGGACTCACAGTTTTGTGAGCAAGCTCGTCGTTCAGCTGTTCATTGCAGCGGTTTTTATTCTCCACCTCCTGACTCTTGTGGTCATAGTTGACAGCCAGCTCCTCCAGCGCCTGCAACACCTCTTTCACCTCCTCTTTAGCTGAATCGCTTTCCCTCTGCAGGCGGGACAGCTCCTCCTGCAGCCGCTCATAGTCCTGGCGGATAGATGCCAGCAGCTGGTGGAGAGCTATTGATTAACCTGTGATCCATCGATCAGTGGATAGTATGGAATGTAACACTCAGGTGAGACTCACCTCATCCTGGTCGATCAGCTGCTGTTTGAGTTTCTCAGACATCTGACTCTGCTGGTTGATCTCATCATCCTAAACATCAATCAGACAGAGTTTAATGATTTAAACATGTCTTCCAGCTAGTTACCACAGTAGGCGTTAAGAAGACTGACTGTACAAAACCAGACAAGATCTGGCCCATTCATGCAACTTGTGACAACAGATAATTTCACACACTATCCAGAAGACACTGCATGCTTTCCGGGGTTACTGCACATGCTGGAATTTTGGCGTGGACTGTCCATTGATCCCTTGGCATCACTTTTTAAAAAAGGTCTCATCTCTTAAGTCCTCCCTCCCCCCTGCTTTATATCCTCTCCCCATTCCTGAGTGCATTTCAACTTTCCACCAGTTTGAGCCTGTGTCACTTTTGACTCTTAAGCGGCTAGTTGCTCAAATGAATAACACCAATACTGTGCTTGACATTCTTCCATCTTGTTTAGCTAAGGACTGTTTTGATGTAATCGGACCTAGTATCCTATTTCTTATGAACTTTTCCTTGCTCTCAGGCTGTGTTCCTTTGTCCTTTAAGCATGCTGTAGTCCACCCGATTCTTAAAAAAAGAAATTCTGACTGTTATGACCTTTCAAACTATAGACCGATCTCTAAGCTTTCGTTCTTGTCCAAAATCCTGGAGAGACTAGTTCTCTCCCAGCTCCAGGCGTACTTGGACACGAACAATATTGCTGAGAAATTTCAATCTGCCTTTAAGCCATTGCATAGCACTGAAACAGCATTGGTTAGAGTTCTTAATGATATTCTTGTAATCACTGATACTGGACGCTCTATGGTCCTAGTTTTACTGGACCTCTCTTCGGCCTTTGATATGGTAGACCATAACATTTTATTACTAAGACTTGAGCACACTGTGGGTATTAGAGGCACTGCCCTCGACTGGTTTAAATCATACCTCGCTGATAGATCCTTATCAGTTCACTTAGGCACCTTCTCCTCTTCCTCCGCTCCGGTCTGTTGTGGTGTGCCTCAAGGATCAGTTTTAGGCCCTATTCTCTTCTCATTGTATTTGCTCCCTTTAGGTGCAATCTTTGAAAAATACAATATCGCCTTCCACTGTTATGCCGATGACATACAGATTTATTTTGAACTTACTGACGACCTTGCTGTGTCCCTGCACTACTTTCAAGAATGCATGCGGGAGGTCAAAGAATGGTTCCTGAGTAATTCCCTCGTTTTAAATGATAAGAAGACTGAGATTGTGGTGTTCAACAGTAAAATCCCTCGTGCCCAACTCTGTGCTGCCCTGGGTTCCTTTGCTAGTTTTTCTTGTGACTATGTCAGTAACTTGGGTGTACTGCTGGATAGCTCGCTCAAACTCGATAAGCAAGTGTCTGCTGTAGTGAGATCTAGCTTCCACCAACTGCGCCTTATCTCTAAGGCTAGGCATTATGTTCCGCACGAGGACCTGGAGAAGCTTATTCACGCTTTTGTGACCTCCAGGTTGGATTATTGTAACTCCTTGTACTATGGTCTTCCCTCTTCTCTTCTTCTTAGACTGCAAACAGTCCAAAATGCAGCAGCCCGCCTTTTAACAGGTACCAGGAAATTTTGCCATATTACCCCTGTCCTAGCTAGCCTGCATTGGCTGCCCATAAAGTACCGTATTCAATTTAAAATATTACTTCTTACTTTCAAAACTATTAATAAATTAGCGCCAAGTTATCTTAGTGAACTTCTCAAACCACATACTCCTGCTAGAACACTCAGATCTGCCACTCAACTACTTCTGACCCAACTCAGATCTCGACTGAAGTCTCGGGGTGACCGTGCGTTTGCTCTGGCTGCCCCGGTACTGTGGAACACCCTTCCTCTCGACCTCCGCGCATCTGATTCCATTGCACTGTTCAAATCACGACTAAAAACCCACTTATTCAATCTTGCCTTTCCCTCTAGTTAATATTTCTTTTATGATTTTATATCACGCACTTGTATGCTCATTTAAATTCTTGTTTGCTCTGTACCTGTTGCTTTCCTATGTATTAGTGACAGTTATCTGCTTGCATATTTAGTACTTGCTTTGGTCCTATTTCTATTATCCTCCTCATATACTCTATTTTACTTGTTAAGCACCTTGGCATACCCTTGGTTTTTAAGTGTGCTTTATAAATAAAGTTTATTATTATTATTATTATTATTATTTTACTGTTACCTTGTTAAAATAAAACCCTATCATCTCATATTTCCCGATTTTTCTAAAATGGACTTACTCATCAAATACTGAATTTTGGGTGTGTGGGATCCAAAGACAAATAATTATGACCACTATAACCTAGAAGTGGAGAGGATGTTTTGACCCGGCATAAATTATCCACTACAGAGGTGTTGCCTAGCAACACAATTATTGACATACATTTTGATGTAAAAGCTGCTTTAACATGACTAAGAGCTAGCTATTTGTGACTGATCAATAAATATGTAGGTGATGGTGACAGGGTGGGTCAGAGCGGGAGTCTATGACCGAAGCGGTGCAGAGCAGCAGAGGAATGGCAGCTGAACTAATCAGAGAATCCAGAGTGTTTAGAACTACCTGGAGAAAATAATGAATGAAATCCAGGTTAGAAAGGCAGAATCAGACTTTGACTGTTCTACTTTTACAGTAATTATTTATTGTTACTAAGTGTTTCTTACTTTTTTGTAGCAGCGGTGAAGCCAATTTTAAAATGCAGATGCTCATTGCCTAAGGGAAGCATGTATAATGTAAACAGAACTGGTCCTAGCACTGAACCCTGTGGAACTCCATAATTAACCTCAGTGTGTGAAGAGGACTCTCCATTTACATGCACAAACTGGAGTCTATTAGATAGATATGATACAAACCACTGCAGTGCAGTACCTGTAATACCTACAGCATGTTCTAATCGCTCTAATAGGATATTATGGTCGACAGTATCGAACGCTGCACTGAGGTCTAGCAGGACAAGCACAGAGATGAGTCCACTGTCAGAGGCCACAAGAAGATCATTTGTAACCTTCACTAAAGATTCCAAAGGTTGATTGTGCTCATCCGGATGTTCTCAGTGGGAGAAACGTTGCATCATTACCCAGGTGGGCCTCTTCAGTCTCAGCTGACTGCAGGTTTCCAACCTTATAAATAGGACATTAGCACAATGACTGAAACTAGCACCACTGACTAACACTGGGTTGTGAGGTCAGTTTCTTTGATATGATGTTCATTACATCAAGAAGGCCCTGAGCAAATGTGGTTATCACAGCTGGACATTTGTCAAAGCTGGGAAGGCGCCTAAAGAAAGCTCCAGCTGATCTAGGAGAGGGACAACTGCTGACTAAGGGAAAACCTGTAGTGATCCCTTTTAAAAATCTTTTGTTCCGCAGTCAAAGCTGCCGTCATGAGACCTCCACAATCCTTTAAAACAGGGGTCCCCAATCCCAGTCCACGAGGGCCGGTGTCCCTGCAGGTTTTAGATGTGTCCTTGATCCATCACAGCTGATTTAAATGGATAAATTACCTTCTCAACATGTCTTGAACTTCTCCAGAGGCCTGGTAATGATCATGTGATTCAGGTGTGTTGACCCAGGGTGAGATCTAAAACCTGTAGGGACACCGGCCCTCGTGGACTGGGATTGGGGACCCCTGCTTTAAAAGAAAAGCACTGCTGTCTTTGAGCTTTTAAATAGTTTGGCCTCACACAGGGTACAGGTGCGACTCACTTTGTCGTCCAGCTGCTGGTACAGGTCAGTGATGAGAGTCTCGTACTGCGACTTCTCCTCCACAGACAGGGCGACAGGGGGCGGAGCCAAGCTGTCAATCGCTGCTGCTGTCTCGCTGCTGCACTTCTTGTTTCTGTTGCCCAGCTGTTCCTCCACAGGTACAGACTCACCTGGAGGAGTCAAAATTACTGATAATAGAATCAAATCAGGATCCATGAATAAAACATTGGCCACATGCTCACATCACAAGAGACGGAGCTGCAGCTGAGAGTCTTATCAGTGAGCTGCCAACAGAAACTAAACAGGAATTCAATCAGACGCAAAATGAAGGCTCAGACACAAACAGCTCCACTCTGACAAAATATTAAGAGACTCTCCATCATAAACGGTTCACAGTGACAGCTTTCCTAAACAAACTAATACCACGTGTACAGTATAGCAGCCTCTAGTGGACAGGTGAATAGCTGCATGTAAAACGCTCCCTGGTACTGTCACTGCCTTCTCTAAAACGAGTTTAAAGAGAACTGATCAAAGCGTGACACGGAAACCTTGAAACGGAAACCTTCAAAATAGGGCTGGGCCATATCATGCCGTTCATGGTAATACCGGTATAATGTTAGGCAATGATAAGAAAATGAAATATCGCAATAGAATATGGTGATACATGCATGCGCAGTGCCTTTGTTTTCATGAGCACATGGCAGAAAAAGCATGGCAGAGAATGAGAAGGGCGAAAGCGGATCGTTGATCAGATGAACCAGAACTGGTTTGTAAAAATGCTGCAACTTCAGTGGTGTGGAACTGGTTTAGCTTTTGTCCGTCAGACACACAACAAAGCACAGTTTTTGTTAGAGCATGCTAGCGGGCCGTCGTTATTACCGTGTTTTTCGGAAAATAAGTCACACTTAAAATCCTTTAATTTTCTCAAAAAATCTACAGTGCGCCTTATGTATGAATTCTGGTTGTGCTTACTGACCTCGAACCGATTTTATGTGCACGGCGCTCAGAAATCTGTCAAAAATGTTTTAATATGACTTTGCTAAGCTACAAAGCCGCACCGCTTGATGGATTGTCGGCGCATTATGGCATCGTAGTCAGGAGCCACAGGTGTAATATGTACTGTGCTTCAACATAATGTTACCGTATTGTGTGTGTATAACCTCTTTTTAAGTTTTGTGGATATTATAAATGGTTATGCTGAGGTTATGTCGGCCAGTTTCCACTGGAAATGCCTTTTGGTTAGACTGTCAGCGAGGAATTTGCATAATTGTTTGCACTAATAAAGTTGTGGAGTTGTAAAGTATTTTTTCTCGCGTCAGTTATATCGTTATCACAAATTTTCAAATGTATATCATGATAAATATTTTTGGCCACATTGCTCTGTCCTACTTCAGAGTCCTGAAGTGAAACCTTTACAGACTAAAGTAACACAAAGATGGAGGCAGACGTTTACCTTCCAGGAGGAAGAAAAAGCTTTTAAACTTTCTTTTGGAACAAAGCTGGTAAATGTTAAAGGATGAGTGTTTTTTTTATCATTAAAGCTCATTTAGGAAAAGCTGCCAGAATATATGACCAGAGGCTGTCACGTGGGGAGACTTGCTGATAGGAGTAGTTTGATGTCAGAGGGTTGAGTCCAGCAAAAATCATGATCTTTCTCTAACCGAACTCTTTTGGTACCAGAACCAAATGTGAAAAAAATTAAAGTGCAGAATGCGTTCGTGCCACCACCAAATGACCTGCCTTCCAAAACACGTGACAGATTTAAGATGACGTAGCAGCAAGATGCAGTCTCACTCCACCTTTGTGGAAACTGTGGACTTTAAAGCACATACATCATTTACAGCTGTTTCCTGGATAGTCACATTTAGTGCAGGAAGAAAACTGAAAAACAAACAAACATGATGCCCCCTTTGCTGTTGGTGAAAAATGCACCACATCAACCAATCAGATTATTTGACAACATGGGTATTCGGTAGCTCTGAGTAAAAAGTTGTGGGAGTGCCAGCGGTGAGAGAGAGCAATATCAATCGTGGGTTTTGAGCTGTCTGGAGTGTGCAGGCAGATTGAAGTATAAATGCCGTCTCCAGGTGAAAACCTGAAGTAACATCTTTTTTCACCTTTCCTCCAGCGTTTCAGCTCATTCTCCAGTTTCTGGATCATGATGTTCAGACTCCTGTTCTTCTCTTTCTCCTTCTCATACTTCTTCTTCCACTCCTCGGCGGTCAGCTCCAGGTTCACAGACACTGTGTTCTTTATGGTTTTAGCTCTGAAACAACAGGACGCGGAATGAAGAAACACTCAGATCTGTGGAGGACGTACTTCAACCACAGTACTCTGCTTTTTCCTCTGATCAGGTGACTTGCCGTACCTCTGTCCAAACATGAGCGTGGACTTTGTTTCAGCCTCGTTGTAAACAGACGGCGAGCAGCAGATGATGATGGTAGTTCGACAGTTTCCACCCAGAGAGTCCTGAAGGATCCGGGTCATCTTACTGTCTCTGTATGGAACGTGGGTTTTCTAGAGACACACGAGACATGTGACAATCACTTCACCTGAAAATCAGGTGAGCTGTGACGTTTCTGTCAAACAAATCAAGTTAAATCCAGAATATTTCAGGCATACATGTCAGAGACCTGAAGATCGGAGACATGAAGACTCACCGTTCCTTCACTCAGGGCAGCGATGACGTTCCCCAGAGCAGACAGAGACTTGTTGATGTTTTTAGCCTCATCCAAAACGGCACCCTCTGCTCCTGTTTTACTCACCTGGATGGCAGAAAGCACAATCCAGGTGTCAGCAAGCAGAAATTTACAGAGAACAGGTGCTCACTGAGTGTGATGGAGTAGTGTGACCTTCTCGCTGCCTGCCAGGTCCACCAGGTAAAGTTTCCCTGATAGCTTCATCTCCGTCTCCACGTTCTCCTGTTTGATGTTGATCAGAAAAATGCTGTGACTGCGAGAGCTGTGCTCGTTCATGTCTGCATGAAGAAGAAACCCCATTCAGTAAACTGATCCGAGAACAAACACACGATGGTCGGGGCGGAAGTATCACACGTACAGGTGAAGACTTACTGGTCACAGCGACGTGTCTGTTTGCTTTTCCTTCATCGATAACGTCCATCACCTCCTCGGGACTGGAAACAAAGCGCTCCGTGCAGCCCTGACAATGAAACACACATCAGTAGAGTATCAGCAGCAGGACGCTGCAGACATGCGGTAAATATGGCTGTTTGGAGGCGGCGTGCACCCACAGCACACCTGTGAGACTCAGCAGACAAACAAAATTCTCCATAAACTGAACGAATATAATATATCAATTTAATATTAAAGCTTACTGTTCCACAGCTCCATAAAGGAGACGTGGAAACTTGAATGAATGTGGTCGGTTGTGTTGCGTTTCCAGCGGCGACTCATCAGCAGATCAGAATCAAGCATAATGACAATTAAACATTTTCAAAATCACCAGAATAAAACAGAGTTTTCTGTGACAACCAGATCCAGAAAACATGACCTGCTCCTCACAAAGGTTGTACCTCCCCTTTTTGTGAGTGTGGATGCTTCCTCTCTTTGCTCTTTAAATGCTTTGCTTCTTTTATTGATTTTTATGCTGTTTTTTTTCCCTTTTTTTCCCGCATGAGCTTACCTGCAATAGCTTTTGGTCATTTATAGATCATTAGGACTAAAGTGTTCTTAACAGAAACAGCAAAATTTTTATAGTTACCTTATCTTCAGCGCTCTGTATGTTTGTGGCCTACACACAGCTGAAGCCTGATTACAGCGTCTGGGCACCTAACAGCCTCAATAGCCTGGAAAGGTGCTAACCGCTAGGCTAACTAGCAACAAATGCCTCCCCTCTCCACAAATGACTACCACAGCCTCCTGCAGAAGATTGCAGTACTGGAGACAAAAATTCATCGCTTAGAAGTAAACGTGGAGGTAAATGGACTGTGTGGAAATGAAACAACCTTGCCTTTGATTCAAAACAATGGCAATGAGCAAACTAGTACACAGCTAAGGAGCACAGATAACATGACCAAGAAAGTAGACTCTGTGCATTATAATAAATCCTCAAGCAATAATCCCCCCTTGAACTGTCTTGGTGCAAAACCAAGACATAAATCACGTCTCCTGGAAGGGGGAGGACCAAGGGCGTAGATTTGGTTTTGGAATTGGTGGGGACGGATGATTCAACCACCGAACCCTGTTTCTTATTTTTTTCCTTTTTGTCTTTGCTTTGATTAAAATGAAAGGAGAAATATACTTGCCTACATATGCTATTCTACATGCTTTTTAAAAATTACAATTCATAGTTTTATATGTGAATTATATAATGTTAAATTACTATTAAACAAATGACTAAGTATTTTAGACTTTAGTTTACTTCAGCCATATTCCATATAAAAAGTGAGACATGTCAATTCAGATTCTTTGTCAAATATACACTAATGAATCAATTTACATCAGCAGCCTAACAATTGTCATGATAATAAATACTAGTTAATCTATAGCAGAAAATCATCAGTCAGTCACCAGTGACCTCGCCTCTTCACCTCTGTCCAAGCTACAACATGGCAGAGCTGCCTCTGTCACCTGATAAATAACAGTGAGACACTCCACATACATGCAGTCACACATGTGCTTCAAATACAGTCATGAACCACCAGGTCATCATCCAGTTTCACCTGTGATCTTGTGTCACTATTACTCTCTGAGCTTTGTGATGGTTCTCCTGTCACCTGACAAATAGGACATACATGTCCAATAAGAATAAAATGTGGAGCTGCTTCAGTGTTTCTGTCAATTTGTGCAGTTTCAAATTCAAATTTTTTCAAATTCAAATTTTATTTGTCACACACACATAACCATACACAGTATGACATTGGGGGTGAAATGCTTGTAGCTGTACAATGCACATTAAATGACAGAAGAAAAGTTTTACAATATTTACAATTTACAGTTTACTACAGAAATTTACAAATTAACTTAGGAATTTACAGTAAAGAATGTGCAAATAGCAGAAGAGATTATAAAGATAAGGATTATAAATTATAGGAATTATAGGATTATAGGAAATGTGTGGTGGTGCGTGTGGTGACGTGTGTGAGAGTCCAGTCTTATAGTGACGTGTTTGGGAGAGTCCAGTCCTACACCTGGTTCAGGCCCCGAATAGCCTGGGGGAAGAAGCTCCTCCTCATTCTCTCTGTTTTGGCCTTAAGGGAGCGGAAGCGCTTCCCAGACCTCAACAGTGAGAAGAGTCCATTGTTGGGATGGGAGAGGTCCATCATAATCTTCCTAGCTTTGGACTTGCACCGCTTGGTGTAGATGGACAGCAGGTCAGGGAGCTCTGATTGAATGATGCGTTCTGCCGAGCGCACCACCCTTTGCAGATCTCGTCTGTCCTGCTTGGTGCTGTTCCCAAACCAGGTGCAGATGTTTGCCGTCAGGACGCTCTCGATGGTGCAGGAGTAGAAGTTCTTGAGCACCTTCAGTGGCAGATGGAAGTCTCTAAGTCTTCTGAGGAAGAAGAGACGCTGACGGGCTTTCTTAACCAGGGTGTTGATGTGGCAGGACCATGACAGGTCCTGAGTGATGTGGACACCCAGGTATCGGAAACTGTCCACTCTCTCCACTGGCGTGCCACTGATGATGAGGGGTTTGTAATTCCTCGCTTGCTTTGTAGTGAAGTCCACGATCAGCTCCTTAGTCTTGCTGATGTTTAGGAGGAGGTTATTCTCCTGGCACCAGGTCTCCAGGTTCCTAATCTCCTCCAGGTAGGCCGTCTCGATGTTGTCGGAGATCAGGCCCACAACAGCAGTGTCGTCAGCAAACTTGACAATGGAGGTGGTGTCGGATGTGGCTACACAGTCATAAGTGTACAGTGAGTACAGCAGGGGGCTTAAAACACAGCCCTGATGCACTCCAGTGCTGAGTGAGATGGAGGGGGAGACTTGTTTTCCCACCCTCACTGATTGGGGTCTGTCTGTGAGGAAGTTGAGGATCCACTGACACAGTGATGAGCTGAGTCCTAGATCCGTCAACTTGGTGAAAAGCTTAGAGGGAATTATTGTGTTGAATGCTGAACTGTAGTCCACGAACAGCAGCCTAACATAATTCCCTCTGCCAGTGTCCAGGTGACTCAGGGATGTGTGGAGCAGGTGAGATATGGCATCGTCTGTGGAACGATTAGTCCGGTAAGCAAACTGAAGTGAGTCGATGGTGGCAGGAAGTGAAGAAGTGTCATCAGTCTTTCAAAACACTTCATCACAATTGAAGTCAGTGCTACTGGACGGTAGTCATTGTGGCAAGCGGGCTGTTGTTTCTTTGGAACAGGGACAATAATGGACTGTTTGAAGCACGTGGGAACCACAGCTTGGGCCAGGGAGAGGTTGAAGATCTCCGTGAACACCGGTGCTAGCTGGTCAGCGCAGGCTCTAAGGACCCGGCGCGCAGCCGTTTGTTGTTTTAATTGCTGCGGCGTCGAAGCGAGCATAAAACGTGTTCAGCTCATCAGCCAGTGAAGCATCTGCATTCATCACTGAAGAAGCTGGTCGTTTATAGTCCGTTATACTCCGCAGTCCTTTCCACAGGCTCCTAGAGTCGCACTGTCGTAGCTGTGACTCTAGTTTTTCCCCGTAGCTCCGCTTTGCCTTTCGGACCGCGCTGGGCACGTTGTAGGACGCAGCCTTGTATAGGTCCATATTACCGGAGACAAGCCCTTCATTGTAGGCAGCGGTGCGTGATCTCAGAGCGTCGCGGATGTTTTTATCCACCCACGGCTTCTGGTTGGGAAACGTTCGGATGATAGTTCTTTCTGCTGTGTCGTCCGCTAGTTTCCCGATAAATCCCACAACCGCTTCCGTAAACATGTTGATGTCATCAGAGCTGCGCCGAAACATGTCCCAGTCTGCGTCATCCAGTGCGTCCTGCAGCGCGACCACCGATTGGTCCGTCCAGCGAGCGACCTCCCTCCTGATTGGTGGTTGCTGCTTTAGCCTTTGTTTGTAAGCAGGCATGAGGAAGATGGCGGAATGGTCCGATTTTCCAAATGCCGGCAGGGGCTGAGCCTTGTAACAGTTCTTGAACGGGGTGTAGCAGTGGTCTAATGTCCTCGTGCCCCGGGTGGGGCAGTTGATGTGCTGGTGAAGGTTGTGAAATGTCCGTTTGAGATTCACTCTGTTAAAATCTCCCATAACAATGAGTGCGGCATCTTGGTGAAGTGTTTGTTGATGTGTGAGAGCCTCATGTAGCTCACATAAGGCAGTGTCCGAGTCCGCGTGAGGCGGAATGTAAACAGTGCAGGCAATGACTGCAGTGAATTCCCGAGGGAGATAGAAAGGGCGACACTTAACGATCAAAAGCTCCAGATTGGGCGAGCAAGAGCGTGTGAGTGGGGAGATGTTTGTGCTGTCGCACCATCTGTTGTTCACCATCAAACACACTCCACCACCTCTTTTCTTCCCCGACTCCATTGTCCTGTCCATGCGGTAAACCGAAAAGAACCCCGTCGGCTGCACGGCGTGGTCTGGTATCGCTGGGTTCAGCCAAGTCTCGGTGAAGCAGAGGAGGTTGCAGTCCCGAATGTCTCTCTGGAACTTGATTCTGGCTCTGAGGTCATCAAGCTTGTTCTCGATGGATTGAACATTGGCTAGCAGGATACTGGGCATGGGTGCGCGGTGTGCGCGAGCCCGTAGCCTGTTCCTGATGCCGGCTCTTTTACCTCGAGGCCGTCGCTTAGGGTCGCGTCCTTTGTTCTCTCTCAGGATCTCCTTTGGCCAGGTTGGGTCCGGAGTTAAACATGGTGAAATGTTCGTGTATTACAGACCAATAGAAACCAAAGTGTCTCTACTGTAGCGGATTTGTGTGTTTTGCATGATGCCCATGCAAGATTATCGCAGATATAGCAAAAAGTGACGAAAAACTGCAAAAAGTGGAGAAGTTAGGGCAGAGCATCCAGCACGGCAGCCGACCTCACTTCGCTGCAGCCCGACTGCAACGATACACAAAATTCACGGTTCGGTTCGATACTTTGGTGTCACGGTTCGATATTTTTTCGATACAAAAAAATGTTCATGCCTTTTTAATTTGTCATTTATTAAAATTATAAATATATATTTTAACTCAAAAGTACAGTTTTTAAATTTAACCCTAACTCTTGTGCGTGTTTTTTATTTTGACAGCGAATGCGCACCTGCGGACCACTTATGTGCAGCCCTGGTTATTTAGCTCGTCATATTGCATCCACAGAAATTCTTTTGTCCATGAAACCATAAAGCTGCACTTTCTTTTTGCCTTATAGGCTGATTTGTCATAACTTCTCCGTTTTGTGGTAAGCTTTTCTTTGGCTGTCACTTCTTCACCCTGACCTGTCTTATTTGGCTCAGCAGAACTAAAATATATATCTGTCTGTGAAGGTTCTCAGTCATCCAGGTCATCGTAGTCAAATATAAATCCTGCTGCTTTTACACACGCACTCACATAAGCTCAGCGATTCTCTGCGCGATCAACCTCTCACATGTTTAAGCTTGCTGCGGGAGATTTCACTTGTCATGTTTGCATAGTAAGCTAACAATTAATAAGACGATGTCAGAGGAATTGGTGCACAAATTATCATCACTCACAGATCAGTGCTGTCGCTCTCTATACACAGTTCACGCGATTGCAAAGTGAAAGCAAAAAAACAAGCGCAAATTCAAACGCGATTTCAATATATCACATATTGACAGTGGCTCACCGATGCCAATGACATAATTACCCAGCTACAAAGAATGCAAAAGCATTGACATATATTTTTCCTTCCTACAAAAGCCCGACGGGCAGGGCAGAGATAGATTTTGGTAGCCCGACTGAAAAAATCGCTAGCCCCGGGACATTGGGCTAGCGATATTGCGAGCCCTGTATCTGATTGAGGAATCACTCATCTTTGGAAAAGAGAGTTTATTACAGAGAAATGTCTCTTTCCAAAATAAAAGCTATACTATCCGCTTCTTCTGGGCTATATTCTCAGCAGCATATTAAACAGCTGTCTAAATGACTCGGCTAAAGTTAGTAGCATGCTTGCTTGTTTTTTTCTGCTTCCACTTGTCTTTGCACTAGGATGATGTCGGCGTAAATGTGCAGTCATATTCGTTGTGTTCCCACTAGTGCTTTCAGGTTAATCTCGTTGAAATGACCTTAACGCCACAACACGGCAAATCTCCGTTAACGAGCTACCGCCAATCGCCCCGTGCATGGGGCTAGACGGCCAACACGTTAACGAGCTAACTGCGCTAACACACTAGTTCCCACCCATGTAATTGAGCATTGCATGGCACATCCAACATACTGTTTTACTTTAGTCCATGACTCGCTTACCTTCAGGGTCATACGTCACATGAAAACCAAAATAATTCCAAACGCCAGATCTGAATGAGGGTGGGGGAGGTCCATGTTGTAAGGAGAGCTTAACTTCTGTCTCGCTAGCTTGCCCTGCGCTCTTCCTTCTGACGATGCTGTCTGTGTTGAGCGCTCAGTGAATCTGCGTTCGACTACTCCGCCTAGGCTGCACTGTCGACCCTAGGCGGAGCAGTCGAAGGCAGATTCACTGAGCGCTCAACACAGACAGCATCGTCAGAAGGAAAGTTGATAAAATAAATTACAAATTTTGTATTGTTCGATACATATGCGTACCGAACCGAAAGCACTGTATCGAACGGTTCAATATCGATACGAATATCGTTGCACCCCTAATAAACATATATAAATAAAACCACTTTTTTTTTACATTAGTAATTCCTTTTGTGCATAATTTTATATTATTGTTAATAATAAATTAATTAAAGCAACAAAACAACCCGAAAAGCCGGATTCGAGCTGAAAGAGCCAGCTCTTTTTAGTGAGCCGAGCCGAAAGAGCCGGTTCTCTAAAAAGAGCCAGAAATCCCATCACTAGTACTGACCACTCAGTGCATTTTATCAACAATTTTAATATTTTTGGGGAACACAGGCATTTGTTTAAAGCAAATGGATTTAATTTTAACAAGTCAGGGGTGAAACTGTTCACCTCCAACTTGTTTTATTCCATACGTCATCCATCTGTGCTTGGTGCCAAGGCTGAGATAAATGAGGAGTTATCTCATAAAGAGGAACAAACAGTACTGCAAGAACAGACAAAGCCCAGCAGAAACCTTGAGGAGGAGCTCCATCTGCCCCCACCCGGGAAGAGCCTCAGAAAGGAGAGACGTCTGAGGCAAGAAGAGGGGTCCCTATTTGCCTCCAACTCTCTCAACAACACCAACGACCAGGACCAGGGACCACGACCTTCCCCAGTCCCCCAAACCCCTGACAGGTCATCACCCTCCTCCCCCTCCCTTTCTCCCTCCTCCCCACACCTGAAATTCACTGAGGAGATGATGGAGCGGGTCAATGCTGGGATCAGATCTACCCCCCGGCCCAATCCCTTTTTGTCCCCACAAACCCCCAACCAGAACAGCCAAAGGTTCGCCATCGAGCCCCGCCCCCAACAGAGCAATCGAAGTTACATTGCCCCCCCCCTAGTTCCTTCTTACCACCTTCATGCTCTGTCTCCGCAGTCTGATGTGTGATGTGTGGAGGGTCCGGGCTGCGAAGATTATGGCAGTGGTGACTTTTCCCAGGAGAAGCTGGGACCCTGTTTACTAGAAGGTTTTAAAATCTCTGTACTTTCAGGTGACAGAAGGAGACATGTGGCCTGGTCAAAACACCGAGAGCTGCACTCTAAAAGATCTTTAAACATAGTAAACATAGCTTGTGTGCCACAGACTGCTCCCAAACACGAGGGGACAAGTAATGCCTCTAAAACACTTAAGTTGGCTTTATTAAACGTTAGATCTTTAGCTGGGAAAACATTTTTAATTAATGATTTAATCACTGAGCACAGCTGTGATTTTATGTTTTTAACTGAAACTTGGTTGGACCAAAGTAACAGTGGAGCTGTTCTCATCGAGACGACCCCTCCTAACTACAGTTTTATCAGTGAGGCCAGGGTGAGCAGGAGAGGAGGGGTTGCTGTCTTATTTAATGAATCATTTCAATGTAAGCAGCTATCTCCTGGAAGTTTTCAGTCTTTTGAATATGTGGCTTTACAGCTGAAGGCCCCATCCAAAGTTGTGTTTCTTAATGTTTACAGGCCTCCCAAATACTGCACAGACTTTTTAATGATCTCAGTGAACTGCTGTCTGTGATCTGTGTTGATTTCGACTGTGTAATTATTGTTGGGGATTTTAACATCCATGTGGACAACCCTCAGGACAAAGGGACTAAAGACCTGAGTAACACTCTGGGCAACTTTGGCTGACTCAGCATGTAACAGAGGCCACACACAACATCTCAATTACTTCTTAAACAGAATAACTGCTATGAGACCTTCCAGTCAGGTTTTAGTCAGAATCACAGCACTGAAACCGCTCTGACCAAAGTGTTTAATGACACATGTCTGAATACAGACAGTGGAAAAATGTCAGTCTTAGTTTTACTGGATCTCAGTGCAGCATTTGATACAGTCAACCACAACATATTACTCAAACAACTGGAGAACTGGGCAGGTCTTTCAGGAACTGTACTAAACTGGTTCAAAACATACTTAGAAAACAGGAAATACTTTGTATCAATAGGTAACTTCACATCTGAGCAGACAAGTATCACATGTGGAGTTCCCCAAGGTTCCATCTTGGGACCCCTTCTGTTTAACATTTACATGCTCCCACTGGCACAGATTATAAAGAACAACAAAATAAACTACCACAGCTATGCAGATGACACACAAGTATATATCACAATGTCACCAGGAGACCAAGGCCCTGTACAGGCTCTTGGTAAATGCATTGAGGACATTAATGACTGGTTGTGCCACAATTTTCTCCAGCTAAACAAAAACAAAACTGAGGTAATAGTCTTTGGTGCCAAAGAAAAATGATTACAGGTCACCAGAGAACTTCAATCTATACACCTAAAAACCACCAACCAGGCGAGAAATTTGGGTGTAGTGATGGATGCAGAGCTAAAATTAGAAAAACACATTAGGACTGCAGCTCATTCAGAACTCTGCTGCTCGAGTCCTCACTAAGACCAAAAAAGTGGACCACATCAGTCCAGCTCTGAGGTCTTTACACTGGCTGCCTGTCCGTCAGAGGATAGACTTTAAAGTACATCAGTGACCTCCTGACCCAGTATGAACCTTCCAGATCCCTCAGGTCATCTGGATCCGGTCTTTTATCAGTTCCCAGAGTCAGAACCAGACACAGAGAAGCTGCATTCATCTTTTATGCTCCTTATATCTGGAACAAACTCCCAGACAGCCTCAGATCAGCAGAAAAACTCAGTTTATTTAAATCCAGGTTGAAGACTCACCTGTTCTCAGCTGCATTTGAATAAAGCACCAAATCCTTAAAAGTTTTACTTTTAAGCTTAAATTTCAAAACTTACATTTTAACTACTGATTTTATCTACTGTTCCTTTTTTTCTTTTTCTTTTTAAATCATGCTTTTTAGTTGTTTCTGTTTTTTAATGTCTCTGTAAAGCACTTTGAATCACCTTGCTGTTGAATTGTGCCATATAAATAAACTTGCCTTGCCTATTCTCTCAGCTGCCGTTTAACGATTCAGACATGAGTCTATGTCCATATTTGATCTGAGCTCAGCAGGTAGAGTGCAGGTGTCCTGTTTTATAATCATATAATTACGCTTATAAATTAATAACACTGTGTCTAAACATCTATATTATTATTTGTTATTTAATATTTATGATTTAATACCATGTCTTTACATGGAAGTAGAAAACTTTAGACGCTCCTACTGTTTGCACACAAACCTCTGACGGATCATCCAGGAACTGTGACGCTGTATTCTGGAGAACTGATTGGTCAGTGGGCGGTGCTTCATACCTGCTGACGTCTAATCTGGATCTAAACGGGCTCCAGAGCGAGTTAAATTCACAGCATAAGTTACCCCAGTAAGAATGAACCACCTTCTAACCCAAAATAGTTCAGGCCTCTGCAGTTATATCCAGTCACTATTTAGGCTACCAGGTGAGTCCAGTGGATCCCCACAGCTGTGGAAACAAACATCTGGAGACAGTTTCTGCTGACTTTTGTTCCTGCAGTCGAAACGCAGCTAACACGATTTATTTACCTTCACAAAGGGAACTCTGTTCTTATCTTCATGAACAGCCAGGTTGGTCTTTGACACTGAAACATGAAAGCATCATCATAGCAGTTAGCATTAGCTTGATTGTACTTACACTCTATTTCTACTCTACTATTCTATTCAACTCTATATGAGCATAGTAAAGGTTCAGGGTTGGTCTCACCATCCAGCAGGTCTCTGATTTTATCCAGATAGATTTCAAAATAAGACACCTGCAGATACACAGCCAGTGTTTATGTTACGTTAAACATGTTCAGTCTTCTAAAAAGAAAAACTGTGATTCAGAATAAAAACACTTTGGAGATTAAATGATGCTACACTGATCAAATGATGATATTTCTTTGAATTAAGATGAAGAATCATTTTTTACAGTTAGATTTTCCTAAGATCTGACAACAGAAACACAAAAACAACATAAAAATATTTGTTTCACAAGCAGAATCACCTTGATGTGGAACTCCAGGTTCTCATCCATGGAGTAGATGTGGTCGAAGATGTCTCTGGAAATACGAGGGATGATGCCCATCTGATGAGGGTCATGAAGGGTCCCCTGAAACATGACGAATCATTTAATTAATCATTCAAATAACACCAAAACAAAGACCTGAAAATAAACTACAAAACAACAGACCAACCTCCATTGTGTGAGTCTTTCCTGAGGAGGTCTGACCATAAGCAAAGATGGTGCCGTTATATCCTCCCAACACATCTGAGGCACAAACAAAGAAACAAACGCCGTTTACAGCCGTCACTTCCTCTCAGTCACTTTCCTTCTTTAATGGAATATGTTGCACTGACCTCTGACGATCTGCTTGGCACAGGTGTCGTACACCTGAACCTGTTCAGTGGTTGGGGGGAAGACTCGGTCGAACACATATGGCTTCCCCTGAAACACAGGAAACACACTGTAAAAACTAAAAGCCTCTGTTTGAAAAAAAAAAAGATTTATGCTGTCAGCAGACAGTCTCCTCCTGCTATGAAGAGGTCATATAAAAAACACCCTGCTCACTGACACTGAGTGTTATGGTGTGATGTTTCAGTCTCTCAGTAACATCTTAACACATCGAAGCCAAGATTATCAATGTAAGTCAGTGAGGACTGTTAGATTTCTGTTTTAACAAACAAAACTAGGAGTAAAAAGAGAGTGCTTCTTATGTATCTGCATTTATACAACATTCACACTCTGATGGAGGTCTCACAGAGCAGCTCGGGGTAAGTATGTCACCAAAGGGTATTTGGCATGGCGACTGGAGCAACCAGGGATCAAAACCACCAACCGTCCGCTGGTCGTTGAGGTCACAGTGAGCTTCCCTGATCACCTCCTGGTTGGACTCCTGCTGAGCTGTCCTGATTGGTCAGTCCACACAGGCACCTCCACTGACCGTCCCACATCTACAAACCCCTCCATGCTTTCCTCGTCAGCACGAGGTGGCTGGAGATGGCACCTGTCAGACCATCTCCAGCCCCACAGCAGACCTTCAGCTCTGCTGCCTCCTCTGTGTGAGTGCTCCCCTCTGAGATCTTCAACGTCCATCAGTTAATGTTCAGATCTTTGAACTTTGACCTTCTTTATGTAATGTGGCCTTGGCTCCCTTGAAAGCTGAACATAAATCTAATTATTTTTTTTTTACAAAGTGTCTCCACTGTGATTTTAAATAAAGTTTCATAGAATTTATAGTTTAATGGGACTCCTGATGGTCACATGACTGTCTCAGTTTCTCCTTCAGAAAAACAAACAGACAATACCGAGACAATAACAGATGTTGGAGCTATTTGTTCTTTATTTTTATTATTTTTGAAATTTGTTGTTAATGTTTGTTGTTAGTTTACTTATATTTTGGGGTTTATTTACAAGTTTATTTGTAGGTTAATATTTGTTTCAATGTTTTGTTTGTTTGATGTTACCTTGTTCAATTAGTCAGTAAGAGCTGTAGGGCCATTTTGTTTCTATAAATAAAGAGACTGGTATAGGACCAGCATGCACTGGGGTGGGCCTATGGGTGTTTTTTTTTTAACCAGAGCAGGAGAAGCAGCAGGAAGAAACAAAAAATGGATCTTGTTATTGCCAAACAGGAGGAATTACCACTACAACAGATTTACCTTTATATAAAGAGTAGGGTCAAGGGTCAGAGGCTCAGGGGAGGTAATGAGAACAAAAACAAGACGTTCAGTCTGAGTTTAATGAGGGCTTGTTAAATCACCACAAACCTTTCACTGTTGTCTCGTTAGTTTAAATAAAGTTCAGTCTAAAACAAACAAACAAGAGAATTCAGAGAGTGCAGCTGTCTCTGAGGATTTTTCAATGATCGGTTTTATTTCTACATTTGAAAGCAACAAAGTGCTTCACGTTTAGTTATGAACAAGAGAAAAACAGGACCATACAACACTGGGCATTTGGGAATGTTTACAGTCACATGTTTAATCCTCTCACTGAAAACGTTTCAGGAACAGGTTTCACAGGTTGAGTCTTTTTCAGGTTGAGAGGAGTCATTCAGTCTCAGTTATCATGATAACAGACAGGTTAACTTAAGTCTCTGTCAGAGGTCAGAGGGGAGAGAATTTATCTGAATCACAGTTAATCAGTCCTCAGTACATCAATGTGTGATTGATTATCAGTACAGTAAAATATCTGGTCTCCATCTTTGCAGCTGTGGACAGCCAGATGGTAATCTGATTACATTTCTTCTTCAGATGTCAACACATTAGAGATTGAATGATGTCATTGATGTCAAACAACATTTTAAAGGTTCAGAGCTTTGACAGATGTTGGTGCTCCATCAGTAAACAGCCTGTGTCTGCACTTTCTGTCAGGCTGCTGCTGAATAATTTAATTTCAATCTAAAAGTTGGTCAGTGCGTCAGGAGCTTGAAAAGACAAGAAAATCAGCTGGACTTCTTTAAGTTTGATGAAGAGGTTTCAGCTGAGAAGCTTCTTCAGTTCTAAGACCTAGCCCCAGCCTATCATGTGACTCACTAAGGTCAAGAGGCCCAGGATGTGAGTGGGCGTTCAGGCATCTGGGAAGGATCTCAAAATTGGATTATAGATGGCAGACAGTTGGTGTGATAAGCCCCGCCCTCTGTTCAAAGATGGTTGCTCACACTCCTCTTTCACTCCTCTTTCAAACCATCTGTCCTCTCTGTCCAAAATGTGAACATTGGCATCCTGGAAAGAGTGACCTTTGACCTTTAGATGCAGATGGACAGCTGAGTCTTGTCCCGTGGAGGTGGCTCTTTTATGCTGTGCCATGTGTTTATGAAGTAGCTGTTTGGTCTCTCCAATGTAGAGGTCTGGGCATTCGTCACTACACTGTACAGTATACACTACGTTGTTAAGTTTGTGTCTGAGTGTGTAGTTAGTGTGTTGTCTTGTGTAGTTAGTGTGTAGTGTTGTGGATAGTTTTGTGTTGTGTGTCAGAACAATGAGGCGACTGCTGTCTCCAGGTAGAAACAGGAGTGATACACCTGCTGCTGTCAGACCTGCAGGTATCAGGCTGTGATGTTCTCCTTTATAGTGGACAGAAATTATTTTTTTGGAGTGGCACAAATAATTTGTGTGGCATCTTACTGAAGAACAGCTGATTGTTCTGTAAACAGTTTGAAATGGTTATTTAAAAAAGGTAAAAGGTAAATGGATGCAAATAACTTTGTTTGGAAAACTTGTGCATACACTGAAAAAAGTCTAACATGCAGTCATTCATTCAATCTAATAAGTGCCATTCAAAACAGAATAAAATCATTGATTTGATTGTGAAACTCTTTCTTTTTGCATTTTAAAATACCACTTTTGATTTGGATGAAACTAAATATCTGTACAAAGGACACAACGCAAAGTTTTTGATTTCTCTCAAAACATATATTTCTTTTCATGTTGAACAGATAATATCTTTAATTTGAGTCAAAGTGATTTGCACTTGAACACGCCAACCAGAAATAGACCGGGACCCATTTTTATTCTGCATGGCCGCTGGAAACATCGTGTCACATCTTTGATTAATTTCATCTGAAAATAAACGTAAGTAAAGCCAAGTGTGTTACAAAAGCTTTTATAATTTGTATTGCCAAAATTGCAGAAAATAACCCCATTTAAGCTGGGTCGACAGCCACCCCCAATTTTTGCATGATTGTAGCTGCTAGCTACAAGCTAGCTAGCTATCCGGCGCGACGTTAGAACTGGTTACCAGCAACCGACCATCACAGTCGGGAATGCAAGTTAGGCAAAAAGCCGTTTTTTACCAGTATACTAACTACCTAGCGTTACCACGATGCATCGGTGGTGGATACAGCTAGCTAGCATAAGTTCATAGTTCATAACATTCATAGTATAACTCCGTGCTCCGCTTCGTTTGAATTTTTCTGGTGAGCTCGCGGTTTCTAGACACAAGCTTGTGTTTGTGCGCGCACGTTTGTCTCTGTCTCTCTTCATATAAATATCTGTGTGTTGATGGCCAGGACCTTCGAATTCAGGAGGAAAGAGGTTGTGGATAAGAAGCCTGACAATAAGAACCTCTTGGAAAGATGGCCAGCTCTATTTCAGATGGAAGACGTATAACTTTTTTGTACTAATGCCTTTTATCATAGTTTGGAAATGGGAAATATATGTTTTGACTTTTTCTTGTTGGAAGTTGGTCTTTAAAAAAATGTATTGTACACTGTCTACTCATGTACAGATTAATGCAGAGTTTCTGCGGGTTACTGCAGTTCCCCTGCTAACCAGATTCATGGTCCAGCTGGACAAGCACTCCCCACAGCTACTTAAAATAATCAGAAAGAAAGGAGGGACAACCAAAGCAAAAACTGCCATAATCCTAGAGTTTCTTGATCAGGTAGGGTGTATATAATTAACTATTAACATGACAGTTAGCATTTTAACCCCTGTATCTAATGAGAATTTGTATCCTGTTACAGTTTTATTTTGGTAACGTCAGTGATTATGGTTGTGACCTTTTAAAATGTTGAAAGGAAGTGTGGGCTTTGTTCTTGAATGAATGAAGAGATTTATTGTCATTATACAAGTACAGAGCACAACTACAACAAAATTTATTTTGGAGACACATTTTCACTCTCACTCGCCAGATACACATACATACATATATACGTATAAACTTTTATTTAGGGACAAGAAAGCATATGCCGCTTTTCCACCGACAGAACACGGTGTGGCTCAGTTCACTTTAGCCCCCTGCGGATGCTTTTCCACCGCCTTTACACCTGATTGGCCCGGGTGTGTGTGGTGCCCACGTGATGTGATATAGAAGCGCTCCCACAAAAGGCTTTAAAAAAATACTCCCAGCAACCATACTCCATTAACTTTGGACCATGGCGACTTCCTCCACAAGAACCAAAAATCAAACCAATCAAAATGAACCACAGACAGAGCAAAGTACAAAAACACACATATATCGCGATTGTTGTTGTTCTTCGGGCTGTGACGTTGCGGACAAAGACTTTTGCGCGCGACTTTTCATAGCCAGATGGGTTCGCCCCTGTTCCCAGTTACATCCATCCGCTTTATGTTTCCACCGCAACAAGCGAGTTCATCCGCGCTAAACTGAACTGCTCTCAAGCGCACCGTGCCGATTTGTCGGTGGAAAAGGGGCATTAGTCACCTCATGAGGATAGAGAGGTGAAAAAAAATTCCTCTCACGCAGCATACTCTCCATATTGCAAAGTAACAATTTTAACTGTTCCTGCAGGATGCTGATGCTGACATTAGGATGGAGTGTATACTTAAATCTCTCATTATCTACCTTGGAGAACGTGTTGAGGAATTGTCAGATGTCTATTCATATTAATGTACAGAATTCACCTGCTTGCTGCTACTACTGCACATTCACCCAATGTCTATACTAATATATATATATATATATATATATATCACACCCAGCACGCCCCTGCGGGCGGTTTATCCTTCAGGCTCGGGTCCTCTACCAGAGGCCTGGGAGCTTGAGGGTCCTGCGCAGTATCTTAGCTGTTCCCAGGACTGCGCTCTTCTGGACAGAGATCTCCGATGTTGTTCCCGGGATCTGCTGGAGCCACTCGCCTAGCTTGGGAGTCACCGCACCTAGTGCTCCGATTACCACGGGGACCACCGTTACCTTCACCCTCCACATCCTCTCGAGCTCTTCTCTGAGCCCTTGGTATTTCTCCAGCTTCTCGTGTTCCTTCTTCCTGATATTGCTGTCATTCGGAACCGCTACATCGATCACTACGGCCGTCTTCTTCTGTTTGTCTACCACCACTATGTCCGGTTGGTTAGCCACCACCATTTTGTCCGTCTGTATCTGGAAGTCCCACAGGATCTTAGCTCGGTCATTCTCCACCACCCTTGGGGGCATCTCCCATTTTGACCTCGGGACTTCCAGGTTATACTCGGCACAGATGTTCCTGTACACTATGCCGGCCACTTGGTTATGGCGTTCCATGTATGCCTTGCCTGCTAGCATCTTGCACCCTGCTGTTATGTGCTGGATTGTCTCTGGGGCATCTTTACACAGCCTGCACCTGGGGTCTTGCCTGGTGTGATAGACCCCAGCCTCTATGGATCTTGTGCTCAGAGCTTGTTCTTGTGCTGCCAGGATTAGTGCCTCTGTGCTGTCTTTCAGTCCAGCTTTGTCCAGTCACTGGTAGGATTTCTGGATATCAGCCACCTCCTCTATCTGCCGGTGGTACATACCGTGCAGGGGCCTGTCCTTCCATGATGGTTCCTCGTCTCCCTCCTCTTTCTTGGGTTTCTGCTGCCTGAGGTATTCACTGAGCACTCGGTCAGTTGGGGCCATCTTCCCAATGTATTCTTGGATGTTCGTTGTCTCATCCTGGACTGTGGTGCTGACACTCACCAGTCCCCGGCCCCCTTCCTTCCGCTTAGCGTACAGCCTCAGGGTGCTGGACTTGGGGTGAAACCCTCCATGCATGGTAAGGAGCTTTCTTGTCTTTATGTCAGTGGCTTCTATCTCCTCCTTTGGCCAGCCTATTACCCCAGCAGGGTACCTGATCACGGGCAGGGCGTACGTGTTGATGGCCCGGATCTTGTTCTTACCATTCAGCTGACTCCTCAGGACTTGCCTGACCCTCTGCAGGTACTTGGTGGTTGCAGCTTTTCTAGCGGCCTCTTCATGGTTCCCATTTGCCTGCGGGATCCCCAAGTACTTGTAACTGTCCTCTATGTCTGCAATGTTGCCTTCTGGTAGTTCAATCCCCTCAGTTCTGACTACCTTCCCTCTCTTTGTTACCATCCGACTACACTTCTCCAGTCCGAACGACATTCCAATGTCATTGCTGTATAGCCTGGTAGTGTGGATCAGTGAATCGATGTCTCGTTCACTCTTGGCATACAGCTTGATGTCATCCATGTACAGGAGGTGGCTGACAACTGCTCCGTTCCGTAGTCGGTATCCGTAGCCAGTCTTGTTAATGATCTCACTGAGGGGGTTCAGGCCTATATATCTATATATATCTATATATCTATATATATCTATATATATCTATATCTATATCTCTATATATATATATATATATATATATATATATATACACACACACATATATATATATAATGTTCTTCCTCTACACCCCCCCCCCCCCCAATTTTTTTGCACATGTCGAGGAGCGTGTCAGGTTACATTTCACTGTGTGTTATACTTGTATAACTATGCATGTGACAAATAAAGAACCTTGAACCTTGAACCTTGATAAAAGAATACATGGTATGTCCATATCTGTTCTGTCTCTACATGGGATGCAGTCTCTTGATGTAAATTTGACAACTCTGCTATTAAATGCAGTGATTAATGTAGGACAGCAACGATTAATCAACTCATCAAGTTAATATCTTAGGGTTCTGTATTGTTTTCTTTTTTTTCATGGGCTTTGTGGAACATTTATGAAAATGTTCCACCATTGATTTAATTGAATGATTATGCAATTCACAATCTGATTAGTCAAATAATTGTTCTAATAGTCTGTGACCAAACAACTGTCAAAATAGTAGTTTATTATGGTCAAAGATTTATCAGGTGTGCCAGACTTCAGTTCTTCACTTGTACATTTTGTTCCATATTTTACCTCAAGATATCCCAGAAAGATGAAGCTGAGGAAGAGCTGCAGAGTACCACCATGGCACTCTTCGTCTTCAGGGACAACTCAAGCCTCCTACATCAGCCTCAAGACATCGGGATAATCATTGATGGTGTGGAAGTCCTGAATGAGTTGCCTTCTGTGGCAGCTGGAGTGGCAATGGTCTTTGGACTCTGTTATGCTCTTAATATGGAATATCCACGAGGATTCAGGTTCACCTTTGAGGCTCTTCAAAAGATTATGATGGAGCTTGACTTTAACAAGATGACCTCTAAGATTCGCAAACTTAATTGTGAACTTAACACTGCACAGTGGTGTGTTTGCATGCATGTGTGCATGTGTATGTGCACATGCATGTGCATGTGTGCTTGGTTTTTTTACTTGGTTGGCCTGCAGTGGTATTCTACATTCAAAAATTATAAGAACACCCATTTGAAAGGGAGATTTAAGTTGATTTCATTGATACATGTGTAGATTTTTTTTTTTACATTGTACAGGCACAGTGCACATATAAACATTTTTGAGTACTTGCAAATTGGTTTAAAAAGAGTTTTTATAATGGTTTTATGCCAGTTTTAGACAGGTTGCAGGTTTTATACCAGTTCTAAAAAGATTGCAGGTTTTATACTGGTTTTCAAAAGGTTGCAGGTTTTATAAAACAAACATTTCTCTAATAATTTCTACCGTAGCACTAATTCTGTATATTACTAATCCTCTCTATTGATTATAGTCAAAATGGTTTGGAACAATAAATAATTTTGAAATAATTGGTTGGCCAACTGTCTTGTTTTTTATAGGAAATGCAGAGCATTTTTGAACTGAAATAAAATGAAATGTAAAAAATATAGTTTGAATATATGTAAATCAATTACCTGGCTTCAACACAAACATATTAGTTCATGTTAATTTGGTTCGATGTGAATACATTAGGTTGGTTAAATTTCAATATATTAGCTTGGTTCAATAATTAAAATATGGTTCTATGTAAAAAAAAATCAATTTGGATCAATGCAAAATTTAAAGTTTCAGCCAAGTCTAGTAATATTGTTTATATCAACATAAAAGTATCAGGTCATATCAAGTGACTCAATTTGGATTCTATGAAGTCAAATATTTTGGATGTGACAATTGGACATCATTTTTTAAAATTTGAATAGGGTTATTCTTTTTACAGTGTATGATTTTAAAATTGACAATTTATATTTGCATTTAAAGTTATGAAATATGATTCATCGTGGTTGTTACAGTAACAAATACTTTTATATACTTTATACTTTTTCTACTCGGATTGTATGTTTTTTGTCTGATTTTTGACCAATTGTGTTAATACAGTATGTCAAAATGAAAACTTAAAATTAAGTGTATATGTAAAATTAAAAGTAGTCAAAAACGGCCAATTATACCCTGGACCCCAGAGGGTTAAACTTTTTTTTAAGTAACGCAATAGTTACAAGATTCTAAAAGTCATTAATTACTAGGAAAAGTAACTCAGCTACTAACTCAGTTACATTTTTGATGAAGTAACTAGTAACTATAATTAATTACTTTTTCAAAGTAACTTGCCCAACACTGGTAATAACTAATAATGATTAATATAATAATAACTTTAATATTGGCCATATTACATTTACATTACCAGTGAAGTGACTTTAGTGTCATGAACAACATTAGCTAATTGTTATGTATTAGCTAATCGTCAAACAACTGTTCAGTACAGAAATGAAGCCCAACAATCATGTTTTTACAGTCCTGTGGTTTCAGCCTCAGATACTTATCAAATCAAACAGAGCTCATGTAAAACAAACAGATGAACAAAAGAAATTTGTCCTTCATTTCTGTCAAACAATGCCAGATGAAATGTTTCCAGCAGTTATTATCATGGTTGCTAGGCAACATGAGCAGTGCAATGGAAGCTAGACATCCTATTTCACAAGCATCGCACTTCCGGCCTTCTCGGTCTACAGTGAAGGCCTTATCCTCCAAAGGATGCAAACCCTGAATTGGGAAAAAGCCTATGTGTTAATAGTCCTCTCTGCATTGAATCGTATCTGTTATTAATCTCTGTCTCTCATCCACAACATGTCTTTATCCTGTCTTCCTTCTCTCACCCTCCCTGAGCCTGGTTCTGTCGGAGGTTTCTTCCTGTTAAAAGGGAGTTTTTCCTTCCCACTGTCACCAAAGTGCTTGCTCATAGGGGGTCATATGACTGTTATTATTGTAGGATCTACCTTGAGGCGACTGTTGCTGTGATTTGGCGCTGTATAAATAGAACTGCAGTGAACATGTTTGACTCTCCTGCTTTGAAGCAGCTGCTCCTGATTGATCAATGCAAACAATGCACTGATTGATTTAAGGAGGAGCAGCGTGCAGTGGTTCTGCAGTTACACACAGCAGGTTTGTTTGCACACTAAACAACACACACACACCGCCACGGTGTGTGTGTGTGTGTGTGTGTGTGTGTGAGCGCGCGCGCGTACTCACCGACACCACCACGGTGTCCTCTCCGTTAAATTTCGGGATGTTTTTGTCTCCGCGGTTCCGCTCCGCCTCGTTCAGCGGCCTGAAGCGACACATCACCTTCACCCCGCACACGCCACCCTCCGCCGCCTCCATCACCGACAAGAAGCACCGACACGCACGCGGAAACACACACAAACCGGGAGGCTCGGCTCTGGTTCGGGTCCACACGGTCCGCTCAGAGGCTGCGATCTCCGGTTACTGCTTCTCCATCAGGAGGCTGAAGGCTCCACCTCTCACAGGTCCACCCTGGACCACCGAGCCGCAAAGAACCATGGGACATGAAGTCCTCCTTCACATCCAGCGTGAACATGATTTAGTTCGGGTTAAAGCCAATGGGTCATATTTGACTCATGACGTTTTAGGCTCTTTAAGACTTCATCGACTTTTCCCCTGAAAAACAAAATTGATACAAAATAAAACTCATATAAACACTTTTTTTTTACTCGTCAGAAGGGTTTTTAAAATAAGTGAATAGAACAAAGTTTATTAATTTAGAAATAAATGTGTGATAAGGTGGAACAGTGGTTAGCACTGCTGCCTCATAAGAGGAACAGGATGGCGGTTTGGCCCCCACCTGGGCGGGGCCTTTGTTGTGGAGTGTGCAGGTTCTCTCCAGGTGCTTCTCCCACAGTTGTGTAACAGGTGTCGTTAGTGGGGTGATTCTAAATTAGCCATAGGTGTGAATATGAGTGCAAATGGTTGTCTCTCTCTCTCCCTCTCTCTGTGTGACCCTGTGACAGACCGTACCTGCCTCTTGCCCTATGGAAGCTGGGCTAGCCTCCAGTTCCCGCCCCCGAGACCCTGACGAGGACAAGCAGAAGAGGATTGGTGGATTTTCAGAAGGCTTGAGAAACATTCCCGTTTCAAAAATCAGAATTTTCTGACAACTTCATGATTAGAATAAATAATTAACCCGATAAATCAGAGTATGCTCAGGGTCATTGATGATCTGATCTCTAGAAGTATTCGGTTACGCTCCTGGAGTAACGGTATTAACACCACTGTGTAGAAATACTCAATTAGGACAGTTTTTTACTTTCTAACCATAAATTCAGTATGACACACCCCTGTATCAGCTGTTTTCTGTTTAAAATGGAATAAAGATTACATTATATTTAAGTAGGCAGACCTACCCAGCACATGTTGTTAGTAACATCTGGATGGATGGGTGGACATTTTATTAGAACATATTAAATTTCACAGTAAATTAGTTTTGAGTCCCCAGAAAGGCGTCAATACTCGGTATGCTAAATATGCCGGCAGAATGAGGGTTAACATATATCAACATATAAATTTTAATTCAAATTTAATTTAGTTGGCAAATATCTGAAAACAGAAGAAACATGTGTGCCTGTGATCAGTATATCCACTGATCTACGTTCCACTCGTCATTCGTCTCCAGTTCATCCTCTGACTGAAGGAGGTCGAGCTACATCGCCCACGCTACGCATCAAAACACCTCTAATCTGAGCGTGCTCGGAGATTGAACATGATGTTCCCGTCGTCACCTCGATTACTACTGAGTGATGATCTCAGACTGCTTCAAAACATAAACAATCAGAAGAGGTTGGACGACTGATGACCAATCAGAGGACATGATGATTTTCATAAACAGATCAAACTCTCTTACATCACAGACTGTACAACAACAGCATCAATAATAATAATGATAATAATAATGATGACCACACAGTTAAATGTTCTGGTTTCTTCTTCTGCAGCAGAACATGATTCACTGTTAGGTTTGTGGGATAAACAGGATACAGTGAAGAAATTCACTTCCGAGCCTTTTTCACACCTTGGCTCATGTGATGAGACACATGGTCAGCAGTGGGTCAAAAAGGTACAACTCCCACTATGGGTTAAATACCTGCGACGCTCCACCATCTGGTTTTAGAACTGAAGAAGCTTCAGTCTGTGAAACATCTTCAGGAATCAGAAATACATCCAGTCGTTTCCTTAGATCACCTTGACCTGGAGGACTGAGAACCTACAGACACAATTCCTCCTCTTTGATCAAACCCCACAGGCAGTCAGGCTGCTGCCATCACCACTGCTTTCATTTTGGGGTTTACCAGCAGGGGGCAGTGTTTCACACAGCACGCTGCTGCTCTAAAAAGCATTTGAATCACAGTGCAGCTGTTCCTTTATTGCCATTGGCTCAGCACAGGACTTGCAGCACACACACTTCCTGGTTCAACCTTCCAGTCTCAGGACCAGGACCACACTAACACCAGGTATCAAACCCCCAACTCTTCACACGTGAACCCCTGAGCCAATAAAAGACAAAGCAGTAATCTCAAAAAGTGGATTCTGTTCATCTGGACCTTTCATCATCAGCCAGGTAACATCTTCAGTCTCAGCTGACTGCAGGTTTCCCACCTTATAAACATGACATTTGTATGATGACTGACACTAGCACCACTGAACAATGGGCTGGGAGGTTAGTTCCTTGAGCTCTTCCGTGTTGTGCCATCCGTTTAGTCGGAGGTTGTTTGGTTTCTGTGATTTTGTTAATAAGGTTGGAAACCTGTAGTCATCTGATGTAAAGTTTCTCCCACTGAAAACATCCAGATGAACACGTCTGCCCAGATGTTTGCAGCTGTTTGTCCTGGACACAGTACTGCACTTTACGGTTGCTCTCTTCTTTTGTGCAATAAAAATAAAGGTCACATCCATATCTATCGATCGCTGTAGACTGCTCCACCATTCTCGTCCTTCCACACACCAACTGAAATCAGATGATTGTAGCAGGAAGAAAAAAAACAAACCTGTTTGTTTCCTTTCTATCTGCAAAGAACCGAAGAGCCTTTGTGGCACACAAACAACAGAACAAACAACAAATTACTGAATTTAGAGTAATTCAGTAATTTTGAGTACAGTAAAGCATTACTTTGTTGATGCAGACTTTAAAGTTAACTGAAGTTTGTAGACCGACTTCACTCTCAGGTGTGTTTGATCCGTCAGGCGTGCAGCTACAGTAACGGCACCTGTGAACTGATGACATCACTCACAGCAGTGATGTCAGAGTGTGATAGTGCCATCAGCTCCATCAGTCCCTGCTGCTCTGTCTGCAGGTGTTTGATCCTCATATACCTGCTGTCAGCACATCTGCGTCTTGTAAATGCTACATTTTTATCTGTTTTAGATTATGGTGATCTGCTGTACATGAATGCTTCCGCCCAGTGTCTTCATAAGATTGACTCAGTTTATCATGCCTCCTTACGGTTTATTACAAACTGTAGGGCCTTGACCCATTGTTGTGATCTGTACGCTCGAGTGGGATGGCCTTCGTTGTCCTCCAGGAGGTTTGCTCACTGGTGCATCTTTATTTATAAGGCCCTGCTTGGACAAATGCCCACCTACATTTGCGATCTGCTCACACGGAGAAGTACTGTTTCTTACAGCCTGCGTTCAAGCGATCTTTTATTGCTCAATGTTCCATTTGCCAGAACTGAACTGGGAAAGAGGGCTTTTACTTATGCTGCCCCTTTCACATGGAACATGATGCAAAAAGACTGGAAGATAGCAGATCTTATTTCATTAAATGCTTTTAAGTCCAGATTGAGAGAGCCAGAGAAAAATGTTTTTAAAATGTAATTGTTATTTATAATATGTATGTAACTTTGTAATTTCAACGTGTTGTCGCCTCTTGGCCAGGACTCCCTTGCAAAAGAGGTTTTTAATCTCAATGGGACTTTTCCTGGTTAAATAAAGGTTAATAATAATAATAAATAAATCTGTCCATGCTTCTGACTCCGCCTCCTTCCTAACCATGCTTAGAGCTGATTGAGAAAGTCTGGATTACCCGATTGAGTTCAGAACAATGATCACGTGACCTGAGCCTGATGTCAGGATATTTGAAACCAATCAGGAAACCCGATCCTCGATTTGCACAGGGACCTGAACATGTTCTCATCTGAACAGATTCAGCGGTCAGAAAACAGACGCTCTGAATGCAGCACAGGTTTAGTGATGTGTTCGCTGACATCATCGGCATCATCTGAGGTTAAAACAGTCCTGCTGACCTTTGACCTCCAGCTGCTCAGCTTAAGGTGACACCCAAAGAGTTCAGCTGCTAAATAACCAACCAATCAAAGCCTGTCCTGATGATCAAATGACTTCCTGTTTCTCTAAGAGACTCCTAAGTCTGACCCCGCCTACTCAGATGGCATCACACAGAAGCATGGTCTCCACAGCATGCACGTCTTATGAAGAACTCAGGATCAGTAAACAATGCTGAGGTCAGAGGTCAGCTTACATGTCTCTCTCTCTCACACACTCACACAGGAAATTAGTGTTTGAAAATAAAAAATACGGCTCCGTTTGTGTTCCTGTAAAACCGATTGATGTTTTTATTCTCCGATAATCAATACATCTGATCACATGATTGTTTCCTGATGTCCTCACCTGACTGACTCAGTGAGACCACATGTAGCAGCTTTACTAGAACTGAGTTTGACCCCGAGACGAACCAGAAGGTCAGACCGACCTCTTGGCGGCGAGGACTGAGAGACTAGGTCATCGGAGGTGAAAAGGTTCATGGCGGACGCGATTGTCAGCTCCAGGAGGTGAAAAAATGAATAAAGTTTGTCTCTGTTCCTGATCAGACTTCCTGCTGATGACCCAATCAGCTGTGCTTACCTGCACGAGCCTGTACACCTGTAGCACAGTCACAGGCTTTGTTCTTTTATTCTGACATCTGTACTCTCCATCCTACATGAAGTCTTTTATTTTGGCGTCCCTGCCCTGCTCTGATTGATCATAAGCTTGACTCTTTGGGCGGGTAGTCCACGTTGGTCACCATGGTGACGACCGTGACAATCTCCTCGTGGGCCGTGACGCTCGACTGCTGCATCTGCACGACGCGCTCCTCCACGCAGCCCGCTGACAGCCGCGCCTCCGCCTCATGATCCCAGCACTCCTCCATCGTCTCACAGAGGAGAGCCAGACCCTGCCGGGGGGGCAGAGAGGAGACCTGGATCAGAGGTTAAACATAGCACTTGTTTCTTTATAAACTACACCAGCGGTGAGGTCATCCTGATGCTTCAAACAAATGCATCGGCTGTGGGTAATGTGCTGGTGCATTGTGCGTAGTGACTCACGGCGTGCTTCTGCCAGCACTCTCTGATTGTGGGCCTGAGCTTCTTGTAGACGACCACCTCCTGCATGTCCTCCAGAGACGGATGCTGACCCGCCTCCTCCTCAAAGGGCAGCAGGTACTCATCTACTGGACCTGAACCACAGAAAACCAGGTGTGCGGATCAGTCAATGACAGTCTTCACTTTGCCCCACACACACACACACACACACACACACACACACACAGCAGGTGAAGACGTAAACACAGGACGGCGGCGTTGGCCTCCACCGACCACAACGACATGTTCATGTCAGTTTCTTCACATGTCACATAGCCATTCTTTGTAAGCAGGTCAAACTTTAACAACCAACCAGGCGTGACCCTGGCCAGGCCTAGGCCGGGGCTGTTGTTAAATTTTGACGTGCTGACCTGGTGAGTCAGGTGACCTTCTGGCGTTTCATACCGTCAGCAGCTTTGCAGCGTGATGCGAGCTCCCACAGCACCAGCCCCACAGCGTACATGTCGATCCTCAGGAAGGAGTCTCTCTGGAAGTTGATGGCGCCCTCCAGGACCTCTGGGGCCATGTACCTCCTGGTCCCCACCTGACACAGACAGGAACCAGATCAGCTGTTTACTGAGGTGATATGACACAACTACAAAGAGCAGAGGAGCTGGTGGAGGGGACATGGATAACATCACTGATATCAATAAAGTTTGAACTTGTTACGCAGCACTTATCTGAAGCCCCGCCCCCTCTGACCTCATGGTCCTCACACATATTTTAAACCTCTGTAATAACACAACAGCATCTAAATGATGTCATTACTGTGGAGACCGAGCTGTGACCGGTAAATAAACACAGCTCATTTAGAGCCAACCTCAAAGCTGCTACTAATATGTAAACGCAGTGAGTTTATCACACCATCCGCTCTGCAGCTTCACCTCCTCAAACCCTCTGATTGGCCGCTCTGCTCTCATTTCTCTCTTTGGTTCCCCACACTCTGGACACTGCTCCGTTCAGCTACGCCTCCCCTGCTGTGCACAGCTGCAATCAGGCCAGCTCAACATCCCAGCACTAATTATTCTTCTTTTATCAAACATCCTTGAATATTTACCCATCAGCCACCAGATGGAGCTATTTGCTTCTTCCTAACCCAGACTGTCCTCACCTGGACCTCAGTGTACCTGGAACTCCATCATGCATTTGCTAAACACTCTTAGATATTTCTGTTTCCACTGACTGTTACACTGTCACTGCTGTAATGACAAAGCGTGACAGAGGCGTAGCTCAGGTGGACACACCTGTCCATGAGCGTCACCTGGAGACTTTCCCGCCTCAAACCTGAGAGCGAGGCCAAAGTCGGCGATGCAGGCAGTCAGGTCGGACTTAAGCAGGATGTTCTTACTCTTGAAGTCCCTGAAAAACACACAGAGCTGTCAGGCAGGTGTGTGTGTGTGTGTGTGTGTGTGTGTGTGTGTGTGTGTGTGTGTGTGTGTGCCTGTACGCTCGTACCTGTGTGCGATGGCGGGTTTGTATGCAGGTATGTCTTCGTGCAGGTAGGCCAGGCCTCGGGACATAGACTGAGCGATCCGACACAGTTCAGACCAGGAGAGAACGTTGGCTTTAAGATGGTCAGTCAAGGAACCCTGAAAACACGTCATGGAGAACACAGAGTGAAGACTGAGGGTCAGAGGTCAAATTTGTTAGAGTGACTCAGTCTTCTGTCCACACATTCACAAACTGAACCCGCTCCAACTCGTCTACGCTCCACGTTCTTCCAGGTTCTAATGGAGTTTTAGGAGTGTTCTGCAGTTCCACCTCCAGCCTGCGGGGGTCACTGTTACCTTGTGATGGTAGGCGGTGACAAGCCACAGCTCCGTTTCCAGCTCGCTGCCTCTCTTCTCAGCGCCGAGGAACTGCAGCAGGTTCTCGTGTCTCATCCCGCTCAGGCTAAAGATCTCAAACTCGTTCTGCCAAGACTGACGCTCCTGAGCACAGGTCAGAGGTCAGAGTAGTCAGGGGCGTGGCCCAACTGTGACCTCACACAGAGGTAATTTCTCAACATGTGCTCTTGTGAGACATCAATTCAAAGGGTTAGGTTGCATTTCATCTGAAAATATGTGTTATTGTAGAATCTACTTTACAATATGAAGCTCCTCGAAGCGACTGGTGTTGTGATTTGGTGCTGTGGAAATAAAACTGAACTGAAACTCAAAAGTGGCCGTGGTGGAGGAGAGCGGCTAAAACTGTGAGAGAAGTTTGAAATGTGCCCGTTTCTGTGACACAAAGTAACTCTTAAGACGTTTCAGGCGAGAATGTAGATACGGATATTTCCAAACATCACCTCCCTCTGGGCGAACGGCCAGTTTGCCTCGCCAGGTGTCACCTGACCAAAAGGTTGAGGCTTATTCTCCCTGACTCCTGCCACATCATTTTTAAATCTCCCCAGGCTTTGGCCACTCAGTGGAGGTTAAACATCATGTTTGGCTTATTTCAGTGTTTTAGAGAAAATCTGTTTGATCAAAACTGGATCGTTGTATTTAACTTTCACGTCTCACTGGAGCGCTGTCACTGTGTTTGGAAACGAATATTCCGCTCATCATTATTCCCTCACGCAGATGTGCTCATGTATATGGAGCAGAAACATCTGGCGCAGCTGCTCATGAAGACTTCACACAAAGGATCAGATAATGTTTTTAACATTTATTCTGTTTCTACGACAATAAACAAAATCATTCTCACATCTGACCCGTTTGTTGTTCTTGTTAAATGAGCAGTGCGAGCTGTGCGTACATGTTTGTGTTTCAGTCATGTGACTGCTGGTGCTCAGCTGTATGAAGGTCATCAGTGTCTGGATGTTAGAAGAGCCGTGAAGACCAACGCTCTGATGCTCCTCTCACAGCCAAGCGTTTTGCCAAAGTGCTTGTAAGCACTTGTGTAGTAAATGGGCTACTTGTATTAACAATATCACACTAAGATTAACGGCACACACACTGACCTGGGCAGGGAAGATCTTGACGGCGACGTGTTCACTGAGCAGCTGAGCCTTCCACACGCAGCCAAAGCGCCCCCTGGCTTTCAGCTCCAGCAACTGCAGAGGCTTCTGTCCCAGGACGGGGGAGGGGGCAGGGGGCCGGTCTCCTGGGGGAGACAGGTGGAGATCAGAGACAGAGGATACAGGAAAATAAAGAACATCTTGTCAGGGCTGTCGGGCCACACCCACATGGACATGTGTACATTAAAAACACAGAGTGACAGAACCATGAGAGTGGGCTGGCCTAAAGATGGGCGGTGTGGCGTGCTGACACAGTCATGCAGGGCAAGGAAGGAGCGGGACGTGCAGACATCATGTGACACAAAACATAAAGGTGCTCAGAGACCCAAAGTGGGAGAACACAAGGCGGGTGGTGACAGAGCACGCTCAGTGGGTCTCCTTACCTCGACCATGATGTGAAAGGCGTGCTGAGAGGCAAAGAAACAGCTCAGAGTCACACAGACAGGAAGAGGTGGAGCTAACTCACAGCCTCCCTCTGAAACATCTGCATTGCCTCACTACTCCAGCTATGTGTCACCGCCTCCTCGTGTCTTAGCCCCTCCCACCCCAGAGGTGAAGACACAGGTAACAAAAAGAGCATCCATGTCACATGACACAGTCACGTGACAGAGTTGATGATGCTGTTAAAAACTACAACAAACACCAGCTCTGTGTGCTGTTACCATGGAAACAGTGTTTTTCCTGATCACCCTGCGAGTGCTTCAGGTCTTTTATTTTGAACGTCAACCTGACGGTGTTCCTGACTTCCTGATTGGACTAAGCAGCAGGAACGTGTCAGGACAAACACCTGATCAGTACACCTGGCTTCAGTGTTTACCTGGAACGAGTTTGTTCACTTGCTGCTGGGACTTCCTGTAGAACAGACAGCTGATTAAAGCTGTTATGAAGCATTTATTGTAAAAGTTTGTCCCTCATTTTTTAAACTCAGAGCAGGAAGTCACCTGACTGTCACATGACCCACTCCTCACAGAAGGTCTCACCTGTGTGGGCACCAGCACAGGTGGGTAGGCCAGTTTGTGGTGTCGGTACATCCAAAAGGACAGCAGGACGATGATGGCAACGGCCATGATGGGGAGCAGCGAATACATCAGCGCGGTGACCACCGGGGGTCGCAGTGTGAGTGGGATATTTGTCGCTATGGAAACACACACGGAAAAGAGGTTACAACATGAAGTACAGGAGGCTTTTCACTATAAGGTTCCGTTTTAACATCAAAGATTTTCAGAATAAGGTGCGAGATGAGCAGGTACGTACGGGGCAGCGGCGGCGTGTGGTTGCTGTTGGGCAGGTAGAAGAACTTCTGGTTGCACAGACTTCCCTCACAGCAGCAGAAAAAGACGTCAGGGGACTCCTTCCTCTCGACACACTCCCACCTATCAGGAAACAGCACAGATGAGCTGATGCACAGGTGAGGTCACCACACTCAAGTAACCCCCCCCCCCCCCTCCCAATTGATGTCTCCTCCTCACACACACTAATGTCTTTCAGCTTTATCACTGAACTCTCAAGTGACCTCACACATGAGCTCACACAGGTGAGCTTTTACAGCACCTCTCAGTTCACATATGAAAACTGATCAATTGCTCTGATTGATACATGGGGTGACTGGTGACAGGTAATGGTAAATGGACTGGTTCTTATATAGCGCTTTTCTACTCTGAGCACTCAAAGCGCTTTATACAACTCGCTCATTCACACAAACACTTTTCTAAGTTCTTAGTGCTATCTAACTAATTCGGAGTGTGTGAGTGTGAGCTAGCTCTTCTTCTCCTGAAATCACTCTGGTCCTCCGAGTGAACCTACAGCAACACGTGGGCAAACCAATTCAACTACAGGTAGACATACACCTGAACACACCTGCCCTGAGGGGACTTATAAAATCACCACTCTGTACTCGAACAAAGTCAGGTTCAGGTCTGGGAGCATCATCAATCAATAAACCGATCAGGTCTAAACTCTGCTATCCTCCTGTTGAACCACAGAAGCGCTCCTTTACTTCCTGTTGTTACCTGAGCATGACCTCTCTGGCCCCACCTACCTGTCATAGCAGCTAGGGTCGTCAAGCCAGCAGCCCTGTTTGACCACGGTCACCTGACCGGAGGTGTTCCTCCAGGTGGCGAAGCAGTGCTGCCGCTTATCCTTCTGCCCGGAGCAGATCTCCACGCCGCTGATGTTCCCTCGGCCCTCCACTGAGGAGGAGGAGGAGCTGTAGCTGTACAGCACACAGGTCTGAGTCTGAGTGTGGCCCAGGATTGCACCTGAGGAGGAAGCATACAGCATCATGAGAGTGACTGAAACAGGTACAGATCAGCTGTTTCCTGTCAGCTCAAGAGCTAATCAATAACTGACCAATATCTGATCAGCAGGTTTTCTGCAGGAGGTTTGAGGTGACCTGTGGTTGAAGATCACCTATATATGATATACACCATTGAAATAAAGCTGCTGGATAGCTGCCCTGGGGCGTTTCAGTGAGCAGACAGCATCACTGACACACAGCTGACTGCTCTAGCCTATCTTAGCTCTGAGCCTGGATTAGGATCAAAGCAGCTCAGAGTTATTTACTGGGGCTTGTTTCCTGTGACATCAGAATTACACTCTGGTTTCTAATTGATTGTGTCTGTGGTGATGATGTTAGAGCCAGGTGTGCTCACCTGAGGAGCAGGTGATTAGGAGGACGCTGAAGGCCAGCCTGGTGGCGGATCCCATGGTGCTGCTCAGATAAATCCTAGTTTCAATCCTAATCCGGGATTACGCTCCCTCTGACTGACAACAGGACTCCGGGCACCGGAACCATGTCCCAGTCCAAGCAGCGGTTGCGGTCCGTTCACCGGGACGCCCCGTGAGAGCACTCGGGAAGAGGGTCCCAGGAGCTGGGCAGGCCCTGAGACATGGTGCGCTGTCAGGAGATCCGGACCTGAGGACCAGTACAGGCTGCTCGCCGGGTTGGAGCGGTGCTGTAAAGGTTTATGCTGCAGAAATCGGTTTATCGACGAACTGACAGGTTATCAATCAGAGGACTGATCTGGAGTAACTCCATCAGCGAACCTCCGGCCATGAAGCACAGTTCACCTTGGACCCCTGCACCATTCTCCGCGAAGCCTCAGCCGTGCTGTGACCCTGGATCAAACTCACCTCCCCGCAGAGAGCCGGGCGGAGGTGTAGCCTCAGCCCGCCTCTGATTATCACTGCTCGGTCACACGGATGCTAGCTGGCCCGGCTACCCTTTAGCTTAGCTCCGAGGAGGAAAACCTCAAACCGCATCCGCGTCCCGTCTGTTCGCTCAGCGGGAGGAAGCGCCGTGTGAACGATCCCGGACTGGCTCACAGCGTACAGCCGACCTGTCCGCCACCCCCTCACCTAGTCTCCGTATTACTTCCACTCCACACTCTGAGGCCGACAGCAGGAGGAAGATGGCGGCTACGCTGCGATCAGCTTGTTTTTTTCACAGTTTTCCAAAGTCACCTGTCACAGCGTACACGATCATCTGACGGGCACCTGCAAAAACCAATAGGATGCCTAGAACAATCCGGAGCCCCATTTATTCACCAATGATTAGCCGTGTTTGTGTGTAGAGCCCATGGAATGAGGGAAAAGCCCCGCCCACTGAAAAGAGGTTGGTGGGCTGTCAGAAAAATGGAGAAAAATAAAAGCGGAAAGAAACCTCCATAAACCAATCAAAATTCAGTAAAACTATTTTTTATTAATTTTTTTTGTACTATAATCCAAATAAAACCTAAAAAATCTAAAAATGCTTTATAAACTTTCTGGCCTTTGAGATTTATACTTTAAACTTGTTTCGTCACTTGGTGGTGGAAACAGCAGTTAGCGACTGAACTAACATCATGTAGGTCCTCAGTAATCCAGGTCATGGTAGTCTAAGGAGCTTGGAAAGAAAAACGTCTGGTCTTCTTTAACATCTTGAAGACATTTCACTTTTCATCCAAGAAGCTTCTTCACTTCTAACACCAAATTCATCTAATTCAAGGATTCAAAGCGTTTGTTGTCATGTGTGCAAGAAAATGCATTACTCTGTACAATGAAATTTTTTTGTCTGCTGTCCACACGCAGACTGGTTAATATGTACAAATAGCTAAAATACAAATAGCATGAATAAATAAATGGAGAAAACATCTGAAGTATTAAATAGATTTATGTGCAAAAGAGCAATATGTGAGATGACCTGATGTACAAAAAATATTATTACTGTTAAAATAGGTCAGCTGTTCAAGAGTCTGATGGCAGTGGGGAAGAAGGAGTTGTTGAGTCGAGATGTTCTGGATTTCACACTTCTAAACCTTTGTCTTGAGGGCAGAAGTGTGAACAGTCCGTGTTGGGGGTGTGTGGGGTCTTTGAGGATGGAGGCAGCTCTCCTCTGGACTGTGCGATGGTAGAAGCTCTGCAGAGAGGGCACCGGGGTCCTGATGATCTTCTCTGCAGTTGTTATCACTCTCTGCAGGCGTTTGCGGTCCATAGCAGTAGTGCTGCTGTACCATGCAGTGATGCAGCTGGTCAGGATGCTCTCCACAATACAGCTGTAGAACCAGCTGAGGATCTTGGCCGACATACCAAATTTCCTCAGCCTCCTCAGGAAATACAGCCGCTGCTGAGCCTTCTTGACCAGCTGTGGGGTGTTCAGTGTCCAGGTGAGGTTCTCAGTGATGTAGACACCCAGGTACCTAAAGCTACCTAAAGTAGGCATACTGCAGGGGTGTCCAACTCCAGGCTTCGAGAGCTGGTGTTCTGCAGGTTTTAGATATCACCCTGGGTCAGCACACCTGAAAAAAATGATTAGTTCATTACTGGGCTTCTGGAGAACTTCAAGACATGTTGAGGAGGTAATTTAGCCATTTAAATCAGCTGTGATGGATCAAGGACACATCTAAAACCTGCATATATTGACAGAGCAGTTCCCCTTGGTGGCTGCAGTTTGAAACACATCCCAGTCTGTTTGGGCAAAACAGTCCTGTAGGATACTCGCAGTCTCTGGGGTCCACAGTTTCACAGGTTTGATGGTTTCAGTTTCTGTCTGTAAGCCGGGTACATGAACAGGGAGATGTGATCAGACTGTCCAGAGTGAGGACGTGGTGCAGCCCTGTATGCACCCTGTATGTTGCTGTAAATATGATCCAGGGGTGTTCTTGTCACGGGTAGGAATGGCCACACGTTGATGGTATTTTGGGAGTACAGTCCGTAAGTTGCACTCACTAAAGTCACCGGCGACGATAAAAACAGCGTCTCAATGAGTTGTCTCTAATGCGCTGATGTCGTCAAGGAGTTTGCCGAGCGCTGCTGCGGAGTTAGCGCGTGGCTGGATGTAAACAATGACCAAAAACACAGCTGACAACTCCCGCAGCAGATAGTAAGGGCGGCATGTAGCATTAAAAACTCCACGTCTGGCGAACAGTGCTTCTGGATAGTCTGCACGTTTCACCGCCACGATTTCTTAATGAAAGCACACTAGGGTGACCATATTTTGATTTCCAAAAAAGAGGACGCTTGGCCCAGTCATGAAGAACTTAGTAATACTGTTTGCTTAAAGAAAATTTTAACATATTTAAACGATGACTTCTCTCGGTTAATGAATGGTGAAACAAAAATGTCATATAGACTTTTACAAGTCAACAAGGGCAGAAAATAACTTAAAAACCTCTGGAATTAGATAATAGTACAGAAACAAGGTCTCATCTCTATAAGAAAAATGACCAGTATCGGGATGGTACGACGGAAATTTCTTTTGCAGTTCGTCTGAAAGCTGCAGTTGCGCTTTGGCTGGTTTTAAACATCACCAGACATCACTACTGCATGCTGTCTGTCCCGTCTGTGAGCGCAGAACAACACTCACAGCCACAGCTCAGGGATGACGTCACACATGTGGGTCCTCTGTAGGAAAACCAGGACATTTTCATCAATCTCAAAAATCCCCCCGGACAGAACGTGAAAAGTGGACATATCCGGGGAAAAGAGGACGGTCAGAGATTGTGTGAGTTACCTATGTCCACTAGTGCCTGTCGCGGATATGTTAACAGAGCACAGCACTTATCCAGTGCAAAAAGAACAAAAAACAAACAACAACAAGTCGGCATCTGAGAGCGGAGCAAGCAAACACGTCTGCCTCGAGGGGCGCTATGATAATGTAAATGATGGAGAGTCCCTGATTTTAAACCCTGTTGGGAGTGGTCCCTTAACAGGGTCATGGACCCATTTTTGATCATCGCCATAATCACGGGAGCCAAGGTGTGAAAACAGGTGTGGGTGATTATCAGCAGAGGTTTCAGGTGAAACCATTGTGAGACCCTCACAACTAAAATACACAATCAGAAATATCAGGATGGATAAAGATATAATTAGTGTTGGAAAAGAAATGACCCCAACCTCTCCCACAGGGGGACTGTAGAAAAGGGGAGAGGCCAAAGGTTGTACCAAATTTATAGGGCTGCACCTAAGAAGAAGAGGAGGAGGATGAGGAAGAGCTCTGACTGATAATGAGGAAAACTACAGGTGTGGAGGTCCTAAGAGTCAGGATATGAAGCACAGTTTGGGGTTCTTCTTCTATGTTGTGTGTTTATGAAGTGGCTGTTTGATGTCTGCAGTGTAGAGGTCTTAGCACTCCTCACTGCACAGCTACACTATTGTTTAGTTTGTGTCTGAGTGTGTGGCTGAGTTTGACAGATGTCTGTCCCGACATCTGTCAAACACTCTGACCAAGTTCTCTGTTGATTGGGATGAAGAGAGGAGCAGTGATGGTGTGAGTCCAGCAGAGGGGGCTGTAACACCACAGGTCAGAGTCACACTGAGCCCGCTGTTATCAGTGGCTGCTGGCAGGAGAGTGACCAGCAGGGGGCAGCAGCACACTCCAGCCTTTGTGTCAGTGTGTCCCTGTTCTTATGATTTTCAACACAAATATTAACCTTTGAGTGTGAGTGTGTGTGTTTCTGTGTGTGTGTGTGTGTGTGAGAGAGAGAGAGAGAGAGAGAGAGAGAGTTTGTAATAAACCAGAGTGAATAAATGAAAGAATAAAAGCCTCAACATGATGTTGGGGGGGACGCCTCCCGTCGCTTCCCATAATGCACTGTGTCATAATGTTGGCAGCCAGATCCGAGCCCCAGAACAAAGACTCGACCTTCAGATGTTTCATTCATCGAACCTCTGAGCAGCAGGATACACACACACACACACAGACACACACACACACTCACATACAGACACACTCACATACAGACACACTCACACTCACACACACACACACACACAGACACACACACACACACACACTCACACTCACACACAGACTCACACACACACACACACACACTCACAGACACACACACAGACACACACACACACACACACACAGACACACACACACACTCACACACAGACACACTCACACAGACACACACACACACACACACTCACACACACACACAGACACACACACACACACACACACACACACACACACACACACACACACACACACACACACACACAGACACACTCACACAGACACACTCACACACAGACACACTCACACAGACACACACAGACACACACACACACAGACACACACACACACAGACACACTCACACAGACACACTCACACACAGACACACACACACACACACACACACACACACACACACACACACACACACAGATGTCTGCAGGTCACAGAGTCAGAATATCCTCCGCGCTCAGCTGTTTTCTTTCAGATCCACACTGAATCATTAATCCGAGTTTGCAGCTGAACTTTTCCACTTTTATATATTTGCTTAGTTTTTGTTCGTTGTTGTTCAGAGGAGGGACGGCTGACACAACAAGCTGCAGAGAAACACCTGAACAAGTCCACAGACCAAGTTAGTCCGACCTGCTGGTTATGTATATATGTGATCACAACTGTTATAACACTGAGGGCCTCGAACACGTCCCAGCACCGAGACCAAATCTGAAAAATCTTCATCGCTCTATTTTAGTCTCTATAAAAACTCTGTGTGGAGTTACCTGTGGGAGGGATCTCAGCAGCAAGAGGTTGACCTTGATTGGTCAGTGGCTTCACCATAGAGCCATCTTCCTGTGAGTGGAGGGTTTGATAGCAGATTGTTTATAGTCTTCAGACATCCATAACCACAGCTGGCATCACTTCCTGTTTCTCCTCCTGTGTGTGGAGATGAAACAATAATTAATCATACATGATGGAGTCACTGATCGGGTGTTGTTAACCGCTTTGCTTCCTGCTGTCACTGAAGGGTTAATCTCTTCCTCTTCCCGTTGGAGGGTGGCAGCGTCTCTCATGGTGTCCGTCCTGCTGTTGGGGGACTTCCTGAGCTTTCAGCCAGCTAAAAGGTGGTGTTGCTAAGTGACAGCGGCTCAGCCGTGGAAGCGTCTCCTCCCCGCTGGCCGACCAACTCTGCAGCCAACACTAAAACCAAACGCACCCGAGGGCTCTCCAAACACACCCATTCTTCCTTTGACGAGTGTTTCCTGCTCCCGCAGGGAGCCTTCACTCCTCCTCCTCCTCCTCGTCCTGCAGACCTGCTCTGAGTCAGGAGGAAGAAAAGCGCCCCGGTGTCTGAGCGAGCTGGCAACCGGCGGACATCATGCCGGTTTCTCTGCTCAGCTGGCGGCGAGTCAAAGATCGACCACATGGAGACGCCACAAACGGCCTTTTAGCGCCTTGTTGTTTCTGCATGAGCGCCTCTGACTCGGCCTTTGTGTCGCCGTCGCTCTGCTTCCTGTCTGTTGGTTTATTTCTCAGAAAGAAGGTGTCAGGATGCAGGGAGGCTTTAATCTGAGTCACAGAAGAAGCAGCAGCAGCTCAATCGTCTCTGCAGGCTGAAACTGGTCTGAAGCTTTTACTGATCATCAATCAATAATCACTTCTCCCCCTCAGAGTTCTCTCAGTTCACGGCCAGAGGCTGCAGGCAAGTAACACCGGGTAGGCTTGACTTGAAGGTCGAACTTTGTCTCTGAGACCAATCGATGGCGGCGGTAGAGTGTCTGGACACGAAGCGTTTATCTATGACCTCCTGACCCCGGCGGCGCCTCCGTTTCTCACCTCCTCCTGGTGAAGACAAGAAGTCTTTGTGAGGCAGAGTCTCATTACGCCGCAGGAGCTGCTGCTCATTATGTCGCCTTCATCCAATCAGAGCTCGATCTGCTGCCACTCTGTCCGATAATGAGGAATTTAAAGATTACAGCTGGACGAGGAGGAAGAGTCTTCATCAGGCAGGAGAAATAAAATAATGGGTGTGACCTCGTCTATCAGAGTGTCTCCTCTGAGTCTGACTTCCTGTTTCCTGTTAGTCTGTGACTGCGATCATCACTCTGAGCTTCTTGTTTCTTTTTGCTGCTTCTTCACTTATCGCTGCTTGTTCCTCTGATACTATAAGTGATATTGATCACTTGCTGCTGCATCATCATTCAGCTATGAGGATCCGTAATGTCCCACAGCCACCAACATCATCATATCAATATATTTTTAAACTGAAGCTCAATAATCAATAAACTGATTAGCTTTTCTCAGAACATCAGTCCTTATATCATAATTACTGTTATTAGATATTGACATGTATGCTACTAAACTTACTATTACTGTGTGTTTCTGTCTGTACCTCTGATCAGGTCTGATTGGTGAATGTTCAGGACGCAGATGAGCGTCTAAATAACCGACGACAATGATAAACGGGCTCTGTCCTTGCCGTTGTCATGTTCTGGCCCCGCCCTCTCGCAGCGTTTCGATTTCCATCCAAACAAAGCAAACTGGAGACGTTTGTGTGCTGATGTTCAATGACCTGCCTGACTGAGACCCATCAAACTACTTTTAATATTTTAAATGTTATATTATTTGTATAAATTGATTTAATCTGTTATTTTCTTTGAAATAGCATTTTGTTTATTTTCCTTTAATTTTATGTCCCATTTCGTTGTATTTTGTTTACATTATTTGATGTCACAGGAATTTGATTTTTTTAATTACATTTTTAATGAGTTTTGTAAACTGAATGCATTTCTATTTTATCTGCCTGTTTTGTTTCTTTAATATTTAATGTTATTTGACGCAGATGTTTATGACCTGAAATTTAACCATGAATGTCATGAGCTTCTATCGGTGGGCGAGGGCGGTGCCTGTGGTGATTTCCTAACACAAACAGTCAGACACATTTCCAGCCTGAAGCATGAGACTCGTCCTCGCCGCCTCTGACAGGAGCTGAAACAGCGATCTGACCCAGAGGTCACCAAAGGAAGTGTGATCGGGGAGCTTTAATTTCACGTGTCTGAACGTTGGAGGCCGGTTTAAATTAAAAAAAAAAAAAACAGCTCCTTCATCTCTTTGTTGGTTTGAAATGTTCGGAAGAGCTAAACGATGTCAGCTGATCATCAGGAAAGTTTCTGACGGTGGCCTGAAGTCCTCCGACTTCTGATCATACAGGCTTCATTAAAGCAATCGTTTCCCCGTCACATCTGACACTTCCTGTTTCTCCCCAGAAGGTCAAAGTCTTTTCAAGTGTGATTAATTAAAGCCTGAGAGCCCATCATTTATCCCGACCCTGAGTGTTTCCTATCAGAAACCGAGCACGCCTGTGAAATGATGTTGATTTTAAAATGAGCAGCAGCCTCGATAAGACGCCGATTCATTTCCAGTTTCAAAACGTGTTTTAAATGAATCCTCAGCAGATAACAGCTCTCATTCAGGAGGCAGGAGAAACTCAGTCTGCAGAACAACGAGCCTCATCATCACAAAGCTCAGCCTCTCATGGTCCACAGGAACTCAGGTAGGCTTCAGCACTGACACCGTGGGCTTACTTTAAACCGGGTCCATTCGGTTCTGGTCTCCTAAACTCGGCTATAATTCTTCAGCAGAGTTAATTCTATTAGCTGTGCTACTCGAATCCAACCACATGAAAACTGTCAGAACCTTTGACACCCAACCAAAACTGAGTTTAGTCTCCACCTGTGGACCAATAAGTAAGTAAATTCTCTTTCTATAGCACATTTATAACCAAAGCAATTTACAGTAAAATAAAAGAAACAGGTTTCTATATCCGGAAAGGCAGACGGCGTGGAGTGAAGAGGATGCAGACCCAAAATGAGACGATGGAGGCAGAGTGAGCTGATGAACAAAAAGCGAGCCTTTATTTAGCTACACAAAACTATAAACAAAAGGAAGACATCCATCCATCCATTTGCTTCCGCTTATCCTTTTCAGGGTCGCGGGGGTCGCTGGAGCCTATCCCAGCTGTCATAGGGCGAGAGGCAGGGTACACCCTGGACAGGTTGCCAGTCTGTCACAGGGCCAACACACAGGGACAGACAACCATTCGCACTCACATTCATTCGCACATTCACACCTAGTGACAATTTGGATTATCCAATTAACCTATCCCCACAAGCTGCATGTCTTTGGATGGTGGGAGGAAGCCGGAGTACCCGGAGGGAACCCACGCAGACACGGGGAGAACATACAAACTCCACACAGAAAGACCCCGGCCTGATGTTGGAACTGAACTCAGGACCTTCTTGCTGTGCGGCAACAGTGCTAACCACCGTGCCACCGTGCTGCTAACAAACAAAAACCTAAACTGGGGTAAGCTAAACGAAACATGGAAACATGGGAGGAGAAACGCAGCAGACGAACTGACAGAGGACTAAATACACAAAGGGTAAAAAGGGAGTGAGGACCAGGGAAACACAGCTGGGACTAATCACACACGAGACAGGGAGAAAGCAAAACAGAATAACACAGGACACGGGAAACTGGAAATACATGAACATAGAAACCATGATGACCAGACGTAAGACAAAGAACACGGGAGAGGCACAGTAACAAAACCTCAAGACTAGAAATCACCAAAATACCAAAGAATAACTGAGCTAGAAGTACAAAATACTAAACCATGAAAAACCACTAAATCACAGAATATTAATAATCAAACATAAACCCTCTGACACCAGACCAATAACCATGACACGGTGTCCACCCATCGTCCAATCACAGCTCCAGAAACAGGCAGTTTACATTATCTTAGATCTTAAAACAGTTACAGCGGATGTTTTTCTGAGGTCACTGCTGAGTTTGAGTGTAACAGCTGCAAAGACAAGAGCTGCTTTTAAAATAAACTTCCAACATGATGTTCAGGGGATTTATGGACACAGGAAATCACCATGTATGCAGGTTTGTCTCTATGGGACAGTAATGAGCATAGAAACTACAGAGACTCTATTCTTTAAGATCAGCTAGCACATCCTCAGACTGAGCCATTCCCTCCAAAACTGACAGTAGCAGCTTCTGCAGTCTGACAGCTCCTGTGTTTATGATCCAGCAAATCTACAGCAGCACTGACCATAAATAATAAACCATAAATCTAACCTAGTGGAAATTCATCGAAAGAAACAGTTAGCTATCTGCTAATCAGTGCTCAGTCACACACAAATCAAATCCTTAATTTCACAGTGCACCAAACTGGAGCTCCACCTCCTTGTATGCTCTGTTAGTACAATGACCTAACAGGAGCCTTATTATTGGTCACATGATGTCTTTACAAATGCTCCAACAGCACAAAGGTCCAGTTCAGGTCAAGCTAGCAGCTACAGCCACCTGTGCTGCCGCTGACCTGTCAGTCAAAGAGGCCACGCCCCTAATAATTTAAACAGGTAAGTTATAGAAACCTTCGTACAGTTGGTACAAAGGACAAATTATATATAGAGACCAAATAGTTTGTGCGCCAGGCTGTAAACGTGTTAATTTTATGGGGACTAAATCACTGCTGCCTCTGGTGGACATTAGAAGAACTGCAGGGTTTTTCAGCCCAGGTAAGATCTTCAGTTTCAGTTCTTTGGGAAGTGTCAGAGAGGAGGGCTGGGTCTCTTTCTGAAACACTGTGGGTGCATTTACAATAAGAAGCGAGGAACGAGCCAAAAAGCTGAGCTTACTGCCAGAAAAACACTTCATGAAGATTAAACTGAGGCAGCCAATCACAGCAAGGCTTGTCCTTCTAAAGAGATGGGGAGTTGCGTCATTATTACACCCAATCGTCCCATTCGTTTACACACCTCGTGATAAATAACACACTTTATTGATTTAATGCCTCTTTACACAAACATCAGCCCTGAATGCCGACTCACAGGCACCCAGAGACCCAGATCTTGAGAGCTGGTTTCAGTATGTCTGTGAGCTCCATCAGCCGGTCTTAGGTTCTGTATGTTTAATGATCCTCAGCAGTCATTAAGGTACAGTCCAGAGTCATGTGTCACAGTTTTACTCCTCTGCTGCAGCACTCCATGTTTACTCACATTATCAGCCGTCTGGTTTTTCTAAAATCTTTTTTTTTTTTTTGGTTTGGAGGGCTGGGTCATAGTCTGCAGCAGAAAGCTGCCCATTATCCTCTCCAAGCTCACTTCACATGAATACAGAGTAGGAGCTGATTAGCAGCAAACACTGAACGCCATCAGTCGCCGCTCATGTGCTTACAGCTGCAGATGAATTACAGGCTGCCAGAGTTTGAGTGATTTTACCCAGTGGGACGTCTACAGGACACTGTGACAGGGACGAGGCTGATGAACCTCCTGTTTACTCTACAGACCAGGCCGAGCCTCCGTCCAGCTCACAGAGCTGTGCTGCTGGACCGCTGCTTCATGAAGGCACCTGAGTGTAAGTAGGCAGTGGCAGCAGTCAGCAGTCTGAAATCATCTTTCACACATTTAGAAACTTTGTTAGACGAATAAACATTAACCTGAACCTGAACCTCATTGGCTGCCTCTCACAAAAGAGTAGAGCAGGTGGGTGACACTCACCTGCTCTACTCTTGTGACATCATACAGATACAAACATATGAAACACGATAAACCTGACAAGCGTGTAAATAAAAACTCCACCTTGGTTAAATAGTGTCACTTGTGACAGCAGTGCAGCGAAACATGATGAGATGGGAGATGAGATAGCCTTTATTTGTCAGTTGCAGAGATGACAGACCTTGCCGACCGTACATACAATACACAAACATCACATTGGGGAGACAGGTCAGGCTAGGTAGCGAGGAAAAAAACATCGAAATGTGTAACACAGAAGGATAATACAGGAATGCACAGATATCAACACACCATAGCACAATAAACACAGACAAGCAACATGGGAAAGTGTTCCAGTGTGTACAGCTGATCTGGGACCGCTGCAATCTTCAACTGCGCCTCCAGCTGACCCGATGTCCACATCAGAGGGGAAGTAAGCGTTGGA